CCACTCATCATTTGCTTCATCCGAAAGTGGCTGCTGCGTTCAGGTCTTATAAGTAAGTGTGATAAAAAAAATAAGCATTCATCTGGGAAACTATTGAATCCACAGATGTCTCCCGATGGAGTTGCCGATGAGTTGGGTGGTCTGATCGTGACCAGCAAATACAAGAAAACGTGAGTATAAAAAAAAGAATTCTTAGTGCATATATTTAGACTTCACAATTACCTAGATTAAATTGATTTATCATTAGGGATAACTCATTTTATGGTCGTCTGCAGGAATTACGAGAAGAAAACTCCCCCTGTCAGCATGACCAAACTGCTGAGTCATGGTTACATTGAGAAGAAGGCTCCTAATAATGACGACGACGACGCATCAAGTACGTAATGATTTCCTTCTGGTCTGCAGCCATGTTTCAGCTTAATGTTGTGAACAATATTAATGTTATATTATATTTCCTTCCAGGCGTGACTTCAGAACAGACCAGCACCACCATGACGGAGGACGTGGAAGATCTGGAGTAGTGCACGTTGTGCTCTGAAGGGAGAGGGGGCTCGTCCTAACACTAGTTCTTGGTTTCCACAGATCCACGAACACATCACCCCCCCGCCCCTCTCAGATTCACTCATTAATTGTACATCCACTGACTGTTAGGTTTTGTACTCATGGTTATGCAAAAGGTACGGTCCTCTATTTATTTGCGTTAATTTGTAAAAATTCACACGGATTTTGTTGAGTAGATGTTTCGGTGCTCGCGGTATTTTCTTTTTTTAATTTCTGTGTTGTCGTTGCTTGATTTGAAAGACGGGTTGTGCACAGGGCAGGAAACTAACTCAACGAACACTGGCTGATTGAAAAACCCCAGATGTTTCACTCGCCAGTTTGAGTTTAAAGTGGAGTTGATCCCCCCAGCCGGATTAAGTCCACCTGCTTTTGGCTGGTGTTAGTCTCCCTCCCTGGTTGTATGAAGATCGAGTTGGTGAATTTAAAGTGTTTGTGCTAATGAAATGTGGTTACAGTGACGTGAAATATTATTTGTTTAGATGAAGGGCTCTGTGAAGAGAAGTCGGAGGGTTGTGTGTTTCCGGCTGCAGGAGAGGATCATCTGTTGAGACAGCCCCCCCCCCCTGCAAAGTGCATACTGATGGTCGCAGCAGCCCTGTTTGTTTGGTAGAAAAGCGCCAATAATAACTCCTTACGTTCTGCTTTGCAAAAGGTTTCCCTTAACACTCCCCGAACTAATGTGTTCATTTTTACTCTCTAAAATGTAAGAAATGCCTTATTTGATTATGCAAGCTGCATTTTATGCTGCTTTTAGTCCAATAATTAGAATACAAGCCCTTTCAGAAGAAAAACGCCTAGTAATGAAACACTAAATTACCTTAAAAGATGTTTACAAGTCACCAGAAGAGGGTGAATCCATTCTGTTGCTGCAATATGAATTTTCTCGTCTTGTTTACCAGAAAGTTAATCAGTAATAATGCCAAGTGCGTCAGAAGCTAATGAAGGAACTAGATTGGGTCTCCTCTACGTTTTTAAAGCCCTTCAGTGTTATGTTATTGCATTCCCGTTCAGCCTAATAAACCCCAAGCTCATGCAACAACAGATAAGGAGTTCTTTGAAATGTAGGGAGAACGGCCACCTTCAGCACAAGTAATTCCCTGTGAAGATTAAGGCAGTTTTAACGTGAGTTCTGAACATGCCAACCAAGCAGTTTTTCCCTGCTCTTGCAGTGTTTTTTTTTAGCCTCACACCAAACCCACCGTCCCATGTTTGTCCATCTGATGAGTTTATTGGGCTCAGATGAGAGACATGTTTACTGCGGCAACATTTCTGCATTTGAAACATTGAAAAAGTATCAGCTGCTGGTCGTTTAGATGAAAAACATATGAATTAAGAATGTGCCATTTCCTTTTTTTAATCATTCCATTTAACTCGGAAACATGATCTAAATGTATTTTAAGTGTATTTTATTTGTAGCTAACACTGTCTCTAGATCATGGTCGGGCAAATGTTTATTTAGTACTTTGTGGTACTAAAAGGGTCTTGAATTTAACTTGTTGAAAGCTGCAAAAACAGTCATCAGTAGTGTGGCTTTTGAAGCACAAACCTTTTTTGTTATTATTATTGCTGGTGTAGAAGCCAGATCTTTGTTTTTCCCATCACGCTTTGAGTGCCCTCACAGTTGGCCTAACTACTCCCAAACCATAGCAGACAGTAGAAATAATGTACCTCTTTATCCTCTGCTTGTTCGTGGGGTATTTTAGAATTATTCTGACTGTCAGGATATCTCACAAAGTCAAAAAATGTCTGTTACATTTGATGGACAGTTCAGCCTTGAGTCATTCAATGTTTAGCTCGACTGAACTGACAGCAAAATCCTAATCCAACAAATTGTAGAGCGGAGAAAATGCTCTTATGAATGAAAAGGGAAAGTGATTCATTTGGGTGTAACAGTTCCTCCCAGAAATGATGCAGCAGTAACAAAGTCATTTAAAAACGGTTAGCTTCAAAACTCTTACAGGAAGTGGTCAACGCAGCTGTCCGGTTAAGGGTTGTCACTTTTATTTCAACACTATATATATTTAAGCATTGATGCATAATGTATCTGTATGTGGTATTAAAAAGTGTCAAGTGTCCAAAACCGATTCACTGGATTTTGTTTTGGATATTGTTTGCTTTGCAGGAAAGGCTTATTTGTATGGAATGTTAATTATACTGCAGTTTAAAATAATGTTTTGCTTCCTCTTCTCCCCGTATGAGTTGGTTGTATATCAGTTTACAAACCGATAGTGGGAAACTTTAGTGGCTTAACTCTGCAGCATCCTCCCTCCAGTATTCTCACTTGTTGTTGTCCTCTTGCTATTGTATCTGCAAGTGGTATTAGTTTACTTTTAAAATGCAAATGTACCAGAAGAGAGTGAAGCAGCTTTTTAAACAGAAGTTTGTAGTGAGGAGAAAATCCATGTAAGACCCTGCTTATCGTGATGATTGAGCACAGACTCTCAATTATAATTTCAATAAATGGGCATGTGCATGTACTTTGTGTACTGTTTCCTTTTTTAAATATGTTGTACTCGCTAGCTTGACGTTACTTAAACATCATGCTTCACATTAAGTTAATTGATGCAAAGAAGAGATTTTCCAAGCATTTCCGGTTTTTCTTCGCTTCCACTCGATTGTTAAAAGGAAAGAAGGTGTTAAATAAAGTTACAGCATGTGTAGTGTATTCCCTTAAAGATCTCCGATGATGCTATTTTTAGGCATATATTATGGGTATCAGATATATAAAAATATATAAAAAACATGTGTTTTGCTCTAAATACCAAACAGATCATGCATTTTAGACAACCCTCATATCCTCTTTCTGCCCTGTTATGGCGCTTTTGCACTGCAGGGCCTCGCACGGCTTAGTACGGTATAGTTAGGCCTTGGTAGGCCAGGCTCACTTTATGCTGCGTTTCCATTACAGTTTAGTCATCTTCAATGCGAACCACAAAACCAACATCAGCCGTTAACTGTTAGCACTCAGAGCTCACAGCTCCTCATATCTGTTCAGAAACTAGACAAAAGTTAAACAAGTACAAACCACAGACTGTCTGTGTCATGGCGAATACAGTCGCTGGTTTATTTATGTCTGTAGGCCGTTGTGAGTGTGGACGGTCGGAGCATATACAACGTTAGCTTAGCCGATCTCCATTCTGAAAAAACGCATTTTAAAAGGTTTTTCGCCTGCCGTCTTGTCTGCAGACTTGTCAAAGCATTAATTCCTGGTTTTTACTAACCGGTATCAGTATGTTGTTACTTCGGCATCATTTTGAAACGTGTACTACAATTAAATCACGGTCAAATATGTTCATTTTGTTGTAGTTGCCAGCGATTCTCTCACTAGTTTAGCATACTCAGTTGTTGGCCCGGAAAGAACCTCGATTTTGGAGAGCCAGAAAACTGTGAAAAAGTACCCGCTAGCCGGAACTACACCTAGTGGAAATGCAACCAAAAACGGGCCGGGCACGGCACGCTTAAACCGCGCTCAGTGCTATAGTGGAAATGCGCCATTAGAGAATTGCTCATTCTCTGCTGGCCCCGCCCCATTTTGAGCACCAGGCACACTGAGTTCTGTGAGCTAAATGCTGCCTTGGTTAAATGCCATATCATGTTCCAAACCACTTCAATGATTACATCTGAAACAGTATGGAGCTCAAATGCTTATTTTCTTGCGGGTTTACCACAAGGTGAGTTCCTTTTTTTATTTCCTGCTTTTTTACACATTCTCTCTCCAGAACAGGTTAGCTCTGAGTGTTAGGATTCTTGCTAATGTAAACAAAGACCATATTGCGTCCAAAACACATCACACATTGTTTCTGATAGCAACATTTCTGATAGGGCCGTGGGTCCACATTTTCGATATTACGTCATATCGGACGAAAATCTGGATCAGCTCCGTTGTACCCCCGTTTTTAGAGATTTGGGTACGGAGGAAAAGAGAGGGTTTTATTTTCTTACACTTTGTGAGTTCCCTGACACACCGGGGACACATATGTATAAAAGACATAAAAAAGTGCATTTTGCATGATAGGAGACCTTTAAGGGCCATTTCCCCTAATTTGTTTAATATCTTTATTATCTATGTGCAAATAATCCAATTCAGGTTTTTTTGGAATAGAAACACGATAAAAGGCAATTATAGATTTTCCTATTTTTAAATCCCAATGTGTATTGCTTTTCATTTTGCAAATACAAAACAAACATGAATGTGTGTCAATGGGGTGAGTAAAGTTTTTTTAAGTGTTGAAGACGGACTTGCATAATTTATACTGAAGTACTTCATGAACTTTAACTATTTAATTATGCTTTGGGAGTCCCATTAGGACCAGTCAAGCCTACAGCAGTGTGTGTGTAGAGGGGAAAACACACGCGCGTGCACGCACATGCACGCTCAGTATCGCTGCAGGCTGCATCCCTCCTCTTGCCGCGCTGTTTGCACTGAGCCGCATCGCACCTCACACCGCCGCCGCGACACAAACGCGCCGCATCCGCGCCTCATCGATCCGCGTATCGGAAACCGATCGGTAACCGCATGGTGACGTCACGCCGCTGATTGGTAACAGCGGCTGGTGGGCGGGTGGCTGTGTGACACTCCAACGCCAGGGATAGATGGGCGCATTGAAACCAAACACCGGATAAACGAAAGAAAAGACAAAAGAGGAGCGCGAGGACGTGCACGGGGAGTGTTTGTTTTGTTTCTCCGTCAGTGCGTGGGGAATGTAGCTGTCACAGCCGCCTGCGGGAGGATGGATGCGTAACAGGACGGATCGAGCCAGCTGTGGCCTGCTTCTAACAGCAACATCTGGCCGGTGAGTCGCACGGAGCCGCAGGCAGCGCGCAGCTTTTTCTCACCCAGGTGGGGACACAGAGAGGGGGACACAGTGCAGCCCCTCTCCCCTGTGTCCTGTCCGGGGAGTCGCTGTGACCTCGTCCTTGGTTGAGTGATTGATGTGCGCGTTTGACAGACAGGCTGCGCGCAGCATATGATGAAGGCTCCTCGCGGATAGCTCGAGCTCTAGTATGGCATTGGGGGAGAAAAAAAAACCTTGAACGTGACATGCTGTTAAATGCTTTCTGTGCAGCGTGCATGCACACCTGCACATGCAATGCATAACCTGTTCAAGATCCAAAGGCTTTATTGTCGTGTGCACAATATGTTGTTGGAAATGAACATCTTAAAAACCAGGCTCTTCCAACAGTGTACAATATACTTAAGACGTTAATTAAATAGTGCAAATGATACAATAGTGTGCATGTAAAATAGAATAGGATAGACATAATGTTAAATTAAATACTGTGCAGTGGAATAAATACTGCTTATTGTTCTAATATACAAATATGTGGATGTATGTGCGATAAACAAATGCATGTATTGACACTGTGGGATACAACTTACATCGTAAAACTATTGCTTTGCGGTGAAATATACCCTAACGTATCAGTGTGGGTTAAATCCCTACTGGATAGCCTCATAATGCCAAAGAAGATTAAAAATACAGATATAGGAGAAGCATTATTGTTATAAATCCCCAGAGAAAGGTGCATGCAAAGCTACAACCACTCTAACTCCTCATTTGGGTATTGTAAAAATGTTAGTGATAGCATAAGGTCACTGTGAATTAACTCCGAGTCCCCGCAGAGTTATACGGAGGTTTAATAAACGGTAGCTGCAGGTCAGAAAGAATCCCTGCAGGATTATTTAAACCCATAAAGCCCCACTTTGACACCCTAAGAGGCCCCCGGGGCCCGGACAGTGATTTCCTGTTGTCTCCTTCACGTCCACGTACTAACCGCCTTGTCGTCCTTCTGCAGGGTCAGAGAGGAGCCTCAGCAGCCTGGAATACAGCACCGAGGCGGGGGGAGATGGAGGAGGGGGACGCAGAGGGGGAAGGGCCCATGGTGGGCAGAGAGGGGCCGAACGCCAGCAGCAACATCACCACCACCACCACCACCAACCTCCTTGCTTCTGTCAAAGAGCAGGTAAGATGCTGCATTCACACCCTGACTGTTGTGTGCGTTTTATTTTCTCACTTCTCAGTCATTTACCCAACAACTTACTCACTTTTGAGGCTGCGGTCACACTGACCCTCCTTACTTATTCTATGGATGAACACATTATTTACGACACATGTTACCCGTTTAACTTGTCTCAGGATGTCATTGAACACAAGTGCTCATTTAGGAAAATGTGTTTAAAAGGGGTTAGCCCTCAAATAATCTTAATAGTCAATTTACTCAGTTTAACTTAGCACATGGTGTAATATGAACAATTATTAAGTAGCTGCTTGTTGTATCTGCGAATGAGTGTAGGTTAATGGCCGATTTGAGTCGATGGGGCCCTGGGTTAAGACAACCAAGAGGCCCCACATCCTTATAAATAAGAACAAGACCCCCAGACCAGAGAGACTTTAGAAGCAATAGTGTTGTTTGGTGTCATTTTGCATGTCTTTGTAGTCCTTTATTGTCTCTGAATCATTTTTCGTGGCTTGATAGTGGTTTTGATTCACGTTGTAGACATTTGGCATCTCTTTGTAGATATGTTGCATCTCTTCGGTATCTCTATGTATTCGTTTTGCGCCTCTTTGTTGTTATTTGGTTGATTTCCAACAAGAAATGTTAACTGTCCCTTCAGACAGAGGCTGTGGTCCATGGATCTGTTCCCAGTGCTTTATTTTCCAGTAGTACATCAATGATACCATGACTGTCTGACTGTGGCACGGGGGGAACACTGCCCCTCTGGCCCCGCCCTTACTCACAGGATAAATGAAGTCTGTGACTCCCTCAAATGTACTGTGCACATCCTGAGGATTATCTCCAGATGAGACTGCAATGTATTGGGTCTTTATGCTATGATGATCCTCCTGAATTTCCACGTTGTCCCAATCGAAAAATGGGAAACACATTGACAAAACGATGATGTGTGATGTCCTTTGCAGTGTATTTTTGATTTGAAAGATGAGGGGCATGGCAGATTTGCATTGAATTAAGAACGAACATATCTTCTTTAGGTATAACACGTTGCAGGTAATATTCATCCTGTGTGAAAAGGCCCTTTAAACAAACTGACAGCGGTGTAATTAAAGTAATTTTCACTCATGGCAGTTTTGCTTCTCACTTCTCCCTGAATAGAGAAACGTCAGTATCTCACTTAAATAAATGATGTAACATTTAATTAACGTCTCCCTGGTATATTTTTAGCGCGGACTGTAGATATGGACTGACAGTCAGGGATCTGTTTGCTTTTCTTCCGGCAACTTTTTAGACAGTGCAATATCTTTGTTTTTGAATGTGGGAGACAGTTGCAGCTGTGGTGTGAACGCACCGTCCATCTGTCTTTCCTTCCCGCTGTTATTTTTATGCTGCTTTCTATCCCCTCAACATCAGAGTTAGTCTATTCTCCTGCTTTTAATCACGCCTGTGCTAGTCCCTCGGTTTGAAACTAGATTGCTATTTAAAAGACTTATAATGTCTACTGACTTTCAATCTCTTTGAGCTGTGAGACAAAAAGAGTGTCTCAGATTGCTCTTAAATCTCTTCTGATGTCAAGTAAAGGCTTTTTTGGTTTCCTCGATGGTGCTTTGATTATCGCCGAACACACAAGAAGCCGCTTGGCCACCCCTCGATTATATTGAATGCTTCAACAGCTCTGCTTCTTGCACTCATTTCACACATGAGAATCCATGAGTTCTGCATCATTCCCCTGCACATGCATGGAAGGAGATGCATGAAGTGCTTCTGATTCCTTTATTTTAAGAAGTCGCAGCACTGTCAGTAATAACCCTGAGAGAAAAGGACTGATTTCTCTAATCAGGTGTTGAACAGGACGTCTAGATATGGATGATTAAAAGCTACCATCTAACAACCCTCAGCATGATTGCAATTCTAAAACGGCAAGTTGCCAGACGGTAAACATTTGATCCTGTAGCGTGTCTCAGACTGTTGAACAGGCTGCGAGGAGGACATATAATCAAGTTTCTTTACCTTTCTCCGTGTTAAAATGCAGACGACGGCGCTGTTCGAGCGGCAAATCCACCGCCTGCAGTTCCTCCACAGAAATGTCACATTAGACATGCTAAATGGAGCACATCAGCTATTGCCTTCCATTGTGTTCGGGGGCCTGATGCTTCTCCACTTTGCTCTCATTTAGCCCATTAAAAGTGGGAGAGTGATGGACGTGAGCAGAGAGAAATGCCACAGACTTGGAAACCTAAAACCGACACAGAGTCCGCGAAACAGATTATTTTGTCACTTCTTGAGCAAACACTGTGAAATTGATTAGATGTTGAGACAACAGCTTGCTGCGAAAATGCGCCAAAATGAAAGATGAGCTGTCCGTAGCTGCTTTTTGCATCCTGTGTGAAATCAACTCTGAAACATGTCTCTGATATCAGATCAAAGCAGTTTTCAGAGCTGTCACAATATAACGTTTGGGCTAGTTTGCGTTGACATTTGAAGTTGACCTCCAAGGTCACGTAGGCATGCTTGTGTGGTGGCTTTTTACATATCATTTTTCAAACTGTTTAAATCTAAATGAAAGTGATAGTTAATGAGAGGGGCTCTGATTTATTTTTCTTTGGACCAAGCGTGTCTCCCTGTTTTCAGTCTTTATAATATATATCATATTTAATGCATGACTTCTAATTGACAGCAGCAAAGGACTTCAATATTCTTTTGAGCATAATCAGACAAATGTTTAGAAGAAGCAGAGAGAAGCGCCTCAAAGCACCAAAATAATAAAGCTATTTTAGATTATTCCTTTTAGGTTTCTCTATAATTCAGTTCAGAAATATTGTGTGAGTGGTTTTGGTTAATGGACATGACAATTGAAAATAAAGATATGGGAGCTTGGCTGCACACCATGGTGGTCATAAACATTACAATGCTGTCCCCCTGGGTCCGTTTTGATGCTGTTATGATGTTCATTTGGGGAATCAGATGTTATCAGCTGTTCATCTGAAGATGTCTGTCTCCCAGCAGCAGACTTTGGTTGTGTAGCTCCCAGGTGTTAGCGCAGGTTTTTTGCTCTATAAATGTGACGCATGGTGCTGCTGAAAAAAAACATGCCTGCTCAGCAAAGCGCTCCCAGGACAGAGAAGAAGGGGGGAAAAAAAGCTCAATAAAAAAACAACAACTGGGCCACATCAGCTCTCTGCAACGATGGGATTGATTTTGACGATTAGGGCCAGAAACAGAACGTATGTTGTTAAAGTGAATTTATTGTATCCCGATACGATTGATGGAGCTGTGTGAGCACTTGAACTGCTTTCTATTTGCCTCATATGGTATCAGAGACAGCAAACTGTTGCTGTTTGACATCTCCCTGGATTATAGGCATGCTCCCTGTCATATTTTGGGAAGGAGAAGAGCTTGTGATGGCCTGTTGGTGCAGCCTGCCGTTTTGACTCAAGATCAGGGATGCTCAAGGCAGCGTGTCATGTGAGCGGTCTGCAGCAGAGTCACTGTGCTGGAACAGGAAGCTCCTCTTGTGGAAATCAAATACGGATATCCAGCGTCAGATACAGTTTCCGATCGCATCAATCTGTCATGTTTACTGGAGTTATTTACTCTCCTAGTCAACCCAATTTGTCTCATCTCCTCAGTGGCTTCCACTCTCTCCCAGAACTTGTTGCTTTTAAAGGTGGGCGTTTGAGGGTATAAAGAGACCGAAAGTGTTTGAATCCATCTATGTCTTACATGTGTAGGCGGAGAGAAAGAGAAAAGGCAAAACTGAAGTGGTTCAGGTGTTTTCGAAGCTATTGTGGGTGTAGTATCTCTACATTTCCTCTTATGGTTTCTCGATGTTGTGGCTGCAAAGTTTCCTTCTATGTCTGTGCCATCATGACGTCATACTTAAAATACGTCCCGTGCAGAAAAATAGGCCTTAAGCTGCCTTTTCAGAGACGTCTTAAAGCGTGAATGCTCTGTTTAAGATGGCGATTTAAAGCAGGAGCAGCATTGTGTCGCAGCGGTAGAACTAGGCCGAACACTATCACAGATGCAGTGTGGATAAACGATGATTAGACACAGCGAGAAGATGGAAGACGCAGAGGTTAGTGTCACTAGATAAGAGGAAAACTCTGTGCTGTGGAGAGTGGTCCGGGAGCCCCCCAGCTGGTACGCAGGATTCGGGCCTGTTCCCAGCCATCACGAGGTGACTGGCGCAATGTGGCTCTGTTTGTCCCTGGGGGGGGGGACGATGACAAAGGAGGGCTGTGTGTCCCCGTCCTGTCTCTGTGCTGCTCTGAAGTGGTGTCAGGAGACGCAGGGACGCTATGACAGCATGCAGCACGTTCGGGATTTAATGGCACACTGTTGTGTCCCTTAAAGTACTGAATGTGTCAATCATTCCATTTTATACTCAAGGTGACCTGCATTTTGTAATCCTTCCACCCTAGATACATCTCAAAACCTCTCCTCTTCCATTTGATCCCACCAAGTTACGTTTTTTTTCTTTCTTTTTTAATAAAAACCTTAAGGGTTATCTCACTTAATCACTAATTAGTTTTTCAGTTTCTCCCCAGTGTTCCCTATTATCACCTTGAAAACGTAGTAATTAATTAGCCTGAACTTCACAACAGTGTTACCTCCTTGTGTTAAATGTGTACGACTTCTATGAAAAGATCAGTGATTTTTTAAAGTAGTTTTGTCTTATTAACAGATCTACAGCTTAATGTTTTACATATATACATAGATATATATATTTTTAGGTATTTCATATTGAAGCAACCTGAAGCTAGAAACTCGCCCAAAACAAAAAACCATAACCATATTGAAAATGTCTCTACTTAAAGAAGTGAAACCCCCCTTAACATTTAGCGGGAAACATCCCTTAATTGGCTTGTTAGTCTGGACTCAAACTAAAAGTAAATTACCATTTTTGCTATACTTTTGGAGCAGTCGCCTCAGAGGCATATCAGCCCTATAAGCGGACCAAAATCTTTGCAATTAACTCGGAATAATTGCTGCAGAAAAATCAACACTTATTAACACAGCAAAATGTGCTGTGTACCCAATCTCCTTAAGGGGATCATTAAAGTTTCATGAGCTGAAGTGATCATTTATAGACAGTCCCCTGTTCATATCTGTGTGGAAAACCATGTTAGATTATGTCTGAACGACGGTGTTCTCTCCGTTTTTTCTTCAGATTTCAGATTTGTTGACACCGAAATGAGGCCGGTTAACTTATTGTTTTTGCTTCCATAGCATGCAGACGGTCTAAAGTGGATGAAACACGCAACTAACCGACCTGATGAGAGCATTACCTAAATCACTGTTCACCATCTGACGAAAGGGAGTCTGTGCATCACAAGGCCAGAGCTGACCCAAATACAAAAGAGCTTTTATCAAGAGACCTAAGCAGATGCGTGTGTCTTTTGTAGTTTTAAAGGATTATGATTTTAAGGGCTTTTACCCTACTGTAGCAGTAAAAGATTGATAAACGATAGTCTCTGTAGTATTTAATGTTAATCACAGTGTCCCAGTAACACCAACATCTAAACATTTAGACCCTGGGTTTAACATATGAAAATAGTTTTGCTATAATACAATGAATATATGACCAGAATTCGATTATATAACAGCTAGCCTTATCTTAAGATAATTGTATTCACTATTTTATCCCGAGTTGTTATTCAAAATGGCCTTTCTTTGTATGGTAGTGTATTGGTTTGTCAGTAAGTAAGCGAGAAATTGATGTTTAATCTCAAAAAGATTAACCAAAGTGTACATTTTAAAATCCACTGCTTGTTTTAACTGAATGATCTGTTCAGTTAAAACTGACACATGTAAACAGACAGGCATTCATATTTTCACCACTTCAGTTCTTCTTTTTTGTGGGAACATGGAGCATGAGGAGAAACATTAGGTGTGAGATTTCTGCAGGATTTCCATCAGGACTTTGCGAATGCTGCTCACAAACATTTCATTTCCCCTTTTGTTGAAGTGCACTCCATCCAACAACATATATATATGTTGTCGTCAAAATAACTCAGGAGGGGAAGTTCAATAACTTCACCAGCAATGATGCCAACAGCCTGTCCCGTGCATCTGTCGATGGTCTTCCTGTCATGGTTGCGATTATTTTATTATTATTTTGTTTGAAAAACGGCACATTTGTCCTCACAGCAACTTGTGGTACTGTCCTTATACATTGCTGAGAAACTGCTAAACAGTTTGTCATTGGCACACTGAATACATCTATATATTCAAGTCTCAAATACTTTAATTGTCGTATGCACAACAGATACTACATCATAATTGAATACGTAAATAATCTGCGCTGACATCGCCCAGATAGATCTTCCCAATGAAATTCGTTTTTTTATTTGATTATTATTTATTTATTTATTCCATATTTTGCTTAATACAGTCTCCCACTTTAGCTCTCTTCTCTTTCACATAAAAAAGTATGCACCCACACAAACACACACCTAAACACATGTGTACACCAATAAGGAAATGCCTTTCTTGTTATTGTTACTACCGCTGCTGCTGTTGCTTATCATTTGGTTTCTATTTGTTATAATCTAGTTTTCACTTGTGTTGTGCTGTCTCATACATTTGAGTAGTTTGTTTAATGCTAGGCACTTGTATTGCACTATAAAAACTCTGAATACAAGCTTTTCTTAACAAATAATATTGCACCAAAGGCCAATTAAAGTTGACAGAATATAGTGTATATTGTTAGTTGTGGCTTTTGACATGACGTTTTTACATAATAACATATGATGAGCTTATAAAATCCAATTTATTTCTCAAATTTACAAAATCTAATAATGTTATATGTTAATATATATCCGTCACAGGACACATCAGATTAAATTATGAGTAGTGATACTTTTAAAATATACTATAAAAATGGATGTATCTGATACTAGGGGGCTCTAATGACTTGTAAAGATCTTGAGTGTCTTTACATTATGGTATTGGCACTTCCTCCTCTAGCGGTTAAATGCAAGGCTATCATTTTTTTTGTTGAGACTACAGGTGTGAAAGTGACCTTAAAACTACCGTCGTTACACAACCCTGTTTACTGTGTCACCGCAAACACATCGATCTCTTCAGACCTTTCACTTTCTCCGAGAGCTTTTCCTGGATGACTTCAAAACAAGTTTTCTAGCCAAGCTGTGTGGTGTTTTTATATTTAGACGTTGTTCGCAGACAGAGAAACCCCCCCGCGGTCTCCGTGATGACACCAGCTGTGATTCCTCGAAGATTTATGAAGCAGCTGGGAAGCCTCGGTGTTATGTAACAGAATACAAATGAGGGGACTGCCAAACCGACCAGCTATCCCACCGCAAACATCTGCTCTACTGGCAAACCTTTGAGCAAGGCATTGGATCCCTACCAGCTCCTAAGGCTTTGAATAAGTAGGGCATACTTTAGTGTGGTGGTGTTTGGGTTGGATTATTGCCAAAAGGACACTAATGGCCACATTTAATGCATATTTTTCACATAGATAATACATTGTGTCTGTGCCTTATTGATTTTTAGATTTTTTTGAGATTTTTGAGATTTTGCAGACTGTACAAACTAATAATACGAGTTAAAATTATATATTTGTAATCTTAAATCATCAGGACATTTGGGTTTTTAAGGAAGCAACGACATCTGATTCACTTTAACCTTCACTACAAATACTCATTCTTTGACTCCCATAGGAAAATTGCGTTTGTAATGGTGGAAAAAAGATCAAATGTGTCGTGCATTTGATTTTAACAGCCATTAAAGGTCATACAAATATTTAAAAATTACTTTGACAGTTGCATATTTACTGCTTACCCTATAAGGGAGGCTGAGGCTCACTGGGTAGTGTGCTGGACTTCGAATCAGGGGATAGCAAGTTCACTGCAGTCAGCATGTCGTTGTGTCCCTGGGCAAGACACTTCACCCCAAATTGCTCCTGTGGTGATTGTCCACAGTACTGAATGTATGTAAGTCGCTTTGGATAAAAGCATCTAACAAGTGTCATGTAATGTAATATGCACCAACAATGTCAGAGGGTTTTTACATGATTGTATCTTTTCCCCTCATCTCCCTTTATATAAAACCCAACTTGCACAATAATAATGCCCTGATAATGTACCATTGTTTCCAACTTTTGTTTTTTTTGCAAATTGAAAAAATGCACTTAAGGAATGCATTTCCATTGTTTCTGTTTTTTTCATCATGTTTTTTGTGTGTAGCATAATGGACTGAGCTTAAACTGTATTGCATTGTGCAGAATGACGATAATTTATGCGTGAATCCGTGAATAATGAGTTTATGCTAAGGGAGTCGTCTTGCTGGAGGGCAACATGTATTCAGTATTAAGACAACTTGTGCATATAACATGCTGTACATTTGAATGCATCATATAAATGTCCAGGCAACATCTTGTGCTCTTTTATGTGTGAGATATAGCAGATTATACACAGCAGTATGACGTAAATAACTAAGGCCACTCAACAAGAAAGCAAGTTTTTAATGATCTGATGCTAAGCTACATTATTAGTAAGAAGTCTCTCTGTTGGTCACAATAAAAAAAGGAGCCGTTGACATTTACATTTGATCATTTTTCTGCTCAATCCTCGATGCTTTGTGCTTGAATTCTTCAAATGTGTGTAATTACATTATCTGAACTGAAGGCCATTAAAAGGTCCCGGACACAGGTTTTAAATCTTAAACCCCCTTTAACAGTCTCTCAGCGTCGGTGAGAAAACCCGCCAAGTCATTCAGGATAAACACAAAATGGGTTTTAGGTTTAATTCTAACTGGCATCAAATAGGGCTTATAAGGAGGCTTAAATGGCCGTGTCACGGTGAGTGTCGGGTAATAATCACCGTCGTGAATGTCTTCCTGCAGGAGCTTCAGTTTGAGCGGCTGACTCGAGAGCTGGAGGAGGAGCGGCAGATTGTGGCCAGCCAGCTGGAGAGGTGCATGCTGGGAGCTGAGTCGCCAGCGGGAGATAGCAGCAGGTAAGCATGAAGCTCACGTGTCGTGCATTGAATCACAAATCATGTATGTTATTTTCCAGCAAAATATGAATAAAATACACTCAGAAATATTCTATTTATTCAAGCATAAAGTTGTTTGAATTAACACCACATAGTATCATACAGTTAATAAAAACCTGATTTCTGATTCAAATGGAGTATTTGTATGTCATATTTTGTAAGTTATTGAGGCCTCACATTGTGTAAACATCACATTAAAACACAACTACAAAACACCTTACCTAGTGTGCATAAATAGGAACTATTTTATTCAATTTTAACCCTTAAAACACTTTTTTAAGATGCAAAATTGTTTGCAATTGTTCCAGATTGTCACATAACCTTTTATTGTGGTCATACTCTTTTATATAATTGTATTTCTTAACATAAATGAGTGTCTTTCAGCTGCAGGTGTTAGCCCATATATCAAAATGCATGTGAGGTTATTGATATATAACATGTCCGATCCCCAGCTGGGGTCAACTCACTTTCATTTTTATATCAATTTGAAGGGTGAATTGAATTCGACACAATACAGACAGAGTCTTCATATTCATTTTACATTGAAATGTTTTCGAGGCAAGAGATTCCTTCGATAGACAGATTTCCTTTTTACATTTGAAACCTTTTTTTATCCTCCTCCTAGACTGATTGAATGTAAAGTGTTCGGCCATGACTCTGATTTGATTTGCGTCACTCTCCTCTCCTCCATTTCCTCCTCTTCTCTCCTCCTGAAGCTCGTCCGAGAAGTCGTTTGCATGGAGATCTGCAGGTATGAGTTCTCACTTTTAACCTTTAAAGATATGCAAAGCTATTTTTAAGATGATACGGTGACAGAGAGATGACCACTTCAGGTTTCAAAACCACAAGGAATAAGATAAAGATTATACGGCTTCAAATAAGATGGGTTCCATATGATGTTGGCTGTAAGGAAAGCATTTTTCCAGATGCAGAAAGACAATTTAGCCTCAAAAGGAAGAAGGCCAGTGAAGCAAAACAAAACAATGTTTCCGCCAGAATATATGAGCTTTGAAATGGAGCCATTTACTATTCTGTCACAGATCCCTCTCCTCTGTTTCCTCGGCGATTCCTCACTGTCGTCTTTCCAATAAAAACAATAAAATGCTGTGTTATTGTGTGACAAAGAATCAGTACTTTTCATATTTTTTTCAGTCTAAATTTGCTTAGAAACGTTTGTTAAAAAGTCTACCCAGGACTTGCTGTCTGTTTTTGGGCTAATGGCAGATGCTTTCACAGGTGGAGAGTTGCAGGGCGGAGTGATGGAGGCGTCTGGGTGTCCTGGGCGTCAGCTGGAGGTGGAGGTGGAGGAGGGTCTCTTCATGCCTGAGCCCGACCGCGCCTCGCTGCATGACAGTGAGGGTCTGTTAATGTACACCCCACATAGTCTGAACCACATTTAAAGCAGGGGTTATGATGTGTGAAGCACAATTGGGAGGAATAGCCACATTTTCTAAAGAAATTCCACTTGTAATTAATCAATTCAATTTAATTTGTAAAGCCCAATATCACATTTTACACATTTGTCTCAAGAAACTTGCGAGAGAGCAACAAAGGAGAAGAATGTTGAATATTGTCGCTTAAGTTGTGTGTGTTTTAAAAATGTATATCCCATGGCCTGACAGACATGCAATAGTATGTATAGATTAAGAAAAGATGCCAAAATAACAACACAGACAATCAAAATGAAATAATGTATAATTTCACGTTACATTTTATACTGTAAAAAATATCTGAAGCCCTTTAAAAGCAGTTATTCAGCTTATCAATCCAATTCAATCCAACTTTATTTATACAGCACATTTAAAAACAACAGAGTTGACCAAAGAGCTGTACATCAATACATATATGAAAAGCATATTTAAAACCGATGGGACAAAAAACAAATGTAAAAACACGAAACAATAAAACCATACTTATAGCCATAGACTTGAAAAATCTCTTTGTCTCACTCGCGGTTTCATTCTTTATTTGAAAGCATGTTGCCAGAAGAGCTTCTCATATTTTCACACCTGGGCGTGTCGCTGTCGGACATTTCTCCACTGGAGCGCGGGACACTTCGGTCCATCAGGCTTCCTCACAGCTTTTGTTAAACCAGGAAAAGAAAGGAAGCGTTGATGCAGTCAGAGCAGCTGTGCAGTTTTATGCTGTTTTATCTTCTCTGAGTATATTGAACAAAAAGAAACAACTTTAAATAGTACCATCAAATAGTCAGAACTCACACCACCTGTTTTGCTTCCAGTAAAGCCTGGAGCAAATCCTTTTAAACAAACATTTTTCAACCTCAATATCAAAATGTTCACATTCAACAAAAATAAATATATAAAAATGTGTATATTACAAATTATACAGTGGCGTATTTATATTAATAAAGATACTAATAGCAAAAAACATATTATTACTTGAAATAGGCAGTGTCATACAGTAATTATCCTTTTTCGTTGGTCTTATATTCCACGCAGTCGAAGTGGTCTGTTAGTGTGAACACATCCCTGTTCTTTATCCAGCAGGAGAAAGTAGGCCAGCTTTACTGAAGCGATATGCAGATTGTTCCAGGGCCAGCATAAAGGCGTAATGCAGATATACATGTGCACGAATTTATATGCATAATGCCTTTTAACAAGTTCAAAGCCATGTGAGATAATATGCAAATCAAGAGGCTGGTATAGACTGCTGATGGGTTTGATTGCCCCTCGAAGTGCAGCGATAACAACGCAGTGTTTCCTCACCCCCTGATCTCCCCTTCCTCTCAGGCTCGGGGGGTCACTCGGCGCAGATGACCTCGTATTCAGACAGCGGTTACCAGGACAGCAGCGTGAGTTACTACAGCAACCAGAACGTGGTGCGCTCGGAGCCCCGCGCCTCGCTGTCCAGGAGCCCGAGGGCCGAGGGTCAAGCCTCTGGGCAGGTGGGTCGCATCTACACGAGTCATTCTAATGTTGCTCTAAAAGCTGAGGTTCAAAGGTTATACCTGACCTTTGAAGGCCGTTGAGATAACAATTTCCCCACAAGATGATTTAGACTCAATTCAAGATTCAAAGGTTTTATTCTCATAAGCATAATAGTTCAATTATTGGCAAGGACATTTAAAAACCCAGGCTCCTCTAACATACAATACACTTATATAATATATTATATATAATATATATAAATAAGAGGACTGGTTGATTAATAAAATAGCTGTTTTGGAGCTTGAAATGTTGATCGCTTTGGAATAACATGGCTGAAAAGTCCTTATAATCAACCAAAACATGTTCATTTCAACATTTGCACTACCATTTGTTCTGGAAAGACCCGTGTGCTGAAGCTCCAGTACAGATACTTACTGCATGTATTATTTCTTACATATTTCAGACTGCTGTCACCTGAAATATTTGAATAAGAATCCCTATCCCTACAACAATGGTTGCTAGTAAGGGCTCGGTAATTACTGTTGGTAGCTTTTATGGATCTTTCAAATCATTAATAAATGTATTAATGTTGGACTGACATGGATAAGGTGGAAATAAACGGTCCGGTCAATTGCTGATGAAGAATAAAGGACTAAAAACAGTCGCTCAATTGATCCTTGCAGCAAATGAAAAATCATTTTCTACTTCTTACATGTTTCTGTCACTTCAAATAGTGTTTTCTTTTGCTGTGAATACTATTATTCTTCCCTAAAGCAATGGCTGCTCAATAATAAGAACAATAGCTAAAGCCTTCAAATCAGAACGAGTCGTACCTTTAAGACTGCGTCCCATTATCCTCTCATTGTGGCTAATAATGATATGCTCATTGCATGACAGTAGCAGCAGGAATGACAGATAATAGTGAGCCCATTTGAATTTTCTCCTGATTTATTCCTCACTGGATGGGCTTACATGTCTCAGCTCTTATTTTCCCTTCGAGGTGTCTGAGCTTTGATGGATTAAGGCGCCACAGATCGGCATTCAGTTGCCTCCGTCTGTAATTGAGGGACATTTTACACTTGGTAATAAGCAGGGAAAAGTAGATTTTTGTTAGCATAAATGTGAAATATACTGTCAAATCTTCCCAGAAATGTAATATATTTACTGGCAGAACTCAACATACAGTATAATGAATGTAGACATTAAAGCAAAAGCACACACGATCACTTACTTGGACAAATAAAAAGGATAATGATGCCCTTCATCAGTTAGCATCCTGCCGCTAAGTGTCACATTACAGTACATTTGCAGTGCAGTGTGCAGAGCCTCATTTCAAATTCAGAAAACAGATATGCTTAAGTGATTAGTTTTCAACAGTGTGGATATTATACTTGACCTTTTTTGTTGTTTTGAGCCCTGTAGAGTCAATCTTAATACAAACAACTGCTAAAATGTCATTTGATAATGACCTTGAAGAATCTACAATAACTTCTCTACTTTAATCTGTGGTTAAACTTTGCATAACTGCCAAAGAAACATGATTATGCAGGATGCGAAAAACAGCATTCAGTTAGAGAATTTGTTTTTGCCTAGAAAGATATATTATGCTTTGATTATGTTTTGATTATGTATCCAATAATAACATTATATGTTGCACATTTTTATATATTTTACACATATTTTATTTATTTATTTTATAGTTTTGTTCTGTAAGATTACATTGCTTTTATCATCGATTTTCCTTTTGTTTTCTGCACTGTCATAATAGTGGGCCTTAAAGCATTTTACAGGGCTTGACATTTTATGCTTAATCGAGTGCATGCATAATTGAACGGTATTTACTCCTAAAGCATAATGACCTGTTAAAATAAAAGGGCTTCAATAAAAGCAAATGCCTGCTTACACAATATGACATTTAGAATATTCAGCTGGACAAAATACATGTACTCAAGTACTTCTTCCCCCTCTGATCATCTTCCATCCTCCCTCAGGTGTCGGGCAGGGTCTTACGGAGGATGACGTCCCTCCCCTCCAGGAGCCAGTCTCCCGGGGGGGGCACCGTCTCCCCCTCCCGGATCTCCCTGCGGACCTCCCAGGGCAGCACCTACGACTCCCCCATCCTCTCGGAGCCCAAACCTCTGGCGGCCGTGTTCCTCGGGACCTCCATGCCGCCCTCCTGCCCCTCACCCTCCTCCCCAACCGACGCCACCCAGGCCCTGGGGGGAGGTGGTGGGGGGGGTCGCCTGGGCTCCACCCTGTCCCTGGTGGAGGGGAGGTGTCTGACGGGGTCCCCTCTGAGGTCGGGGATGACGGCGGTGCCGCAGCACTACGGATCAACGCTGCCCCGGCAGAGCCAGCCGCTGGGCTACGGAGCTGGGGACCCCTATGGCCTGTTCCAGAGGGGGGGGCTGCCGCGGCCCGACAGCCTCATTGGTCAGTACCACGCACAGGTTAAAGTTCATAGGGCTTTATTTTCATATGCACAGCTACAGAGTAGATATGCAATACAAAACCAAAGTCACAGGCTCCTCTAACAATGCAACATAAATATGTAGAAGGGGCCGCCGTATAGCTCACCTGGTACCATGGAACCAACCTGGAACCATGTATCCACACCTGGGTCTGGAATGTATCACTTGTGACTACTCTTCACTGATGACAAATGTCTGACATTTTTACAAGATAATTGTCTTTATTCATAAAGAGGGGTAGTCTACAATGTGTCTGAGTAACAACAGTATACTTTACGAATTTCCCCAAAAATTTAGATTTCTAGGAAAACAAAATAAGATCTAATTTGAATTTATAACTATATTATTATTATTCCAAATATTACATATTTTTCTTTCATCCTATTAAACATGACCCCATGTTGGGAATGTCTGCTCTACAGTCTATAACAAGAAGCTCAGGTTATATTTGATATTGTTTATATTTGATATACTATTTTTCATTTTATTTTTAATTGTTAATTCTATTCCACTTTTTAAGTATTTGTATTCTAATGTTGAACACACTGGTCCTGTCACAAAATAATTTCCCAATTTAGGGAATTAACTTTAGATTAAAAAAGTATCTATCTATCTATCTATCTATCTATCTATCTATCTATCTATCTATCTATCTATCTATCTATCTATCTATCTATCTATCTATCTATCTATCTATCTATCTATCTATCTATCTATCTATCTATCTATCTATCTATTACATTTGTAACTGCACAAAGTCAGTTGTATAAGTGTTTTATTTAACACAGCAACATTTTATGGTAAGGATATTTAAACAATATCTTTTTATTCATCATTTATTTGAGTCCAGTGATTTTCCCTCTCAGCAGGACATTAAATGATACGACGTGATAAAACCTTACAGCCACATTAAACATGAGGGAATATGAAGCATTGTTGTGCTTCTAAGGGAACTGTGGGATCTTTACAGCCTTCGTCCTTCAGTGTTTGTCTTTGTGATGGTGGTTTGATATCGTGTTACACAGACACGCAGGACTAATGAAAGCATATGGAGTGGAAGGTGTATTGTTTCTTATTGCCCTCTGTTCAGTGCTCTGGTTAGTCGGATAGAGCGTCAGTTTACACTGCTGGTCAAATCTATCAAAATGTGGCGTTGAGTTTCCTTTGAGAAAAGCACTTTACTGCAGAGTCTGGCTTCAGAGAATAATCTCAATAATAAATCAGGTGTCCACCACTGCATTAACAAATAAATGTATTTAAAAGAAAGGAGAATTTAAGAGAGAAAATTCATTCAATATGTCTACCAATAATATATCAATCTTTATTTCAGAATGTACTGTAACACTTTAATCCTGCTAGTAATCTCTATTTTCGAATACGGTATACAGTTACGTTTTTTTTTGTATCCTGATTACTCTACAAGCCTGAATAAATGTTTTCAGCAGCTCTTGTAAATAAACAAAGCCACACTCCACCACGATTTAATAACCTGTCCTGTGTCCAGGGGAAGTGGACTGAGCAGATTGAATATTGTAGCAAACAACCCTTTTACTGAGCAGCAGAGTTTCCTGAATCATCCAATAAATGTGCATATTGAACAAAATAACTTTCTGCAAGCTCTGCATGTGATGCTATCTCTAAGCGGGCTCAGGGAGCTCATTTCATGGAGTTTCCAGTCTAATCTTCTTCCAGCACGGGCAGATAATGCTGCTGGGTTTGATAACATTTCATTTGATCCACGCCAGTATGAAAATAAGGGATGTAATCTTTGAGGGGGGGAGGATTTCCCTTTCACAAGGTGCATGTTTTTGAGGTAATCTTGCTGGGGGATTGATCAGTGGAGGAAAACAAAAGAAAGACAGTGGATCACAGCTGCCTGATGCGAAGTGCTTCCACTTGAGTTTCTCTCTCATGCACCGTTTAGCAAATTGATGTCCGTGAGAACAAACCGTGTTAGTAGCTATCGGCTTGTAACGAAGCAATCGATGGATAGTTGCCGTCTAGTTACACACTTCCTGTAGAAACACAAGTTCATACTCGGTTAATCGGCAGTAGAAAGCCAATAGCACACACACAGTGAGCTAATGCTAAGTAGCCTGCTTTAGCTTTCACTTGATTTTTTAAAGTTGAAATAAATGCAAAGTTTGCAAACATAAGCTAAATTATCGGGTGCAATACTATGTTTATTAACCCAATATTGTCATTACAGTACAGTGTATACAACATGTATATATATATCATTGTTAAAGGGCAGTTAGTGTTAATACAAAGTCATTTTGTACTGGAGGAAGGACATGGCATTGTAATGTGTGGCTTTCTATGTAATAATTACTAGAGAATACCTCATTATTATCGAGAAAAAAAACTCATTATGTAAGACAAAAACATCATAATCACAAGAGACCTCATTATTACAAGATAAAAGGTGGTGCACTGTGTCATAAGGGTTTAAGATTTCAGCTATGTTGCCACTAAACAACATTTAATATACTTTATTTAGATTTTTCCACATTGTATTCAGAGGGTTACACATTTATATAGCTTATCTTATTTATTTTAGGACACACCATTTCTTCCTTTAAGTTATTATTTTAGTTAATCCATCCATAATTAAAACTGTCAAATGTTCTGGTTTAAGGATATACTATTTATGAAGTACAGCACACATGCTCGGATACTAGTGAATAAAAAATGAGCTGAGAAACTTGAACAGGATTATGTATGTTCGTTGAGTCCAGTTACAAACACATACGGAGCGAATTACAAACCAAAACCATTCATATTCATCATTTTCCAGAGGAAGACATGACCTTTCTCCTGCAAAGCAGAAACATAAAACTCTATCGGGGCAACTTCCCCCCCGACACTTTGCTGTGTAGCCGCTGGAGGATTTACTTTTTTGTTGTTGTTGAAAAAGCGCTGCTGATGCTGCAGCAGATTTATTCCTGCATCCTGCCCACTGTCACTTTCCTAAGCCGCTCCCACTGACCCATATAGGGGTGTTTCCATCACAAAGCCCCTGTGCAGCATCAGCATGTGATTATCAGCTGACTGCTTTATGATGCTGTTTTAATTTAGTCCATTTTCATATGATGTGTGTGGACATCATTGATGTGTAGAGGCCCTACTTTGTGTTTGTGTGTAAGTAGATGGATGGTTGTGTGGGAGGCAGAGTCAGTGAACTGAATAAAATGACTCCCATTCTCCCGTGAGTGCTTTTCATCCAGCGGCGCTGCTAAGTGGCCTAATATGTCGCCTAAATCCTTATTCCCAGTTATCCTGCAGATCCAACATAATCCCAGATTACAGCAGGGAGATAAGCAAAAGATGGATTTACAAGATTAGGCTATTACTGATCACTCGTAGTTTAGGTAGTGAAACCTGGTGAGAAACACAACGTCAGCTGTGACATAATATTTGTTTCTTCTTCTATGAAATCGGTTGGAAAATGGCAACGTCACTGACGTGGTTTTCATGTATGAGGCAGGGAAAAACAGGGGAGATATTACATTGAGTAATATGTAATATGCAAAGCATCTCAGGGGGGTGTGGAGGAATTGTGGAGTAGCTTAACACAAACAAAAAAAAATATGATGTAAATTTGCTTTGAAAATATATATTTTTTAAAAACTTATTGAGAGTTGTAACAGCTGTGCATAAAAAAACAACAAGCAAGGACACATTTTAAACTAAAAGTAATGTAAAAGCTTTTACACTCTTAAAATTGTAAGCAAAAAGTAATAATTCAAATATTCCTCATATAATAATGAAGTTAGCTGATAGTGGTGGATAAATGGTTAAAACATCCTCTATTCAAAGCTAATCATATCTGTAAAAACATCTTCTTTTATATTTAATAGTGTTAACATCCAGTTTGTATTAAATCAAGAGAAGGTTGTGAACCTCTTTTGTCGAGGAATATTTCGATTCAAACCTTTACCACTCGATTCATAATCCATCTTTTCAGGGTTTTAGTTTCTTACGCCTCCTCTAAACTGAAGGTCATATTTCCGTATCACCCGCTGGTGAGAACCCTTCAGAAATAAATAGACCGAGGTCCAGATTCAAGATGTGTCACAACCAATTCACTCTTTATTTCTTTCTAAAGGAATGTGCTTTGCAATAAGACCAGTTTCCTGCTGCAGAAGCAAATAGCTGTTCATCAGTAGCTCTAAGTGCACATTGTGATCCCCCCCACCCCCCCTGCTCGTGCCCTAAAGCCTCTTTGTAATTGGAGCGCTCTTTGAAGTGATCCTCTCAGAGATTGGAGGATGGAGAAAACCCTCTGCTCCGCTTGTTTGACTTGCTGATGACGCCTGCGTTCGCTTTAGAAGCACAACAGCAGTCGGGATGAGTTATGAAATACAATCTCCATCTGCATGGCCTCACCTAGCGCCGAGTAATGAGGCGTCACATGACTTATGTATGACAGGCAGGAAGAGGCTTTGTTCCGTTGTTGCTGATATTACGCAGCTTTTTCTCCTTTTGCTGTAAGTGAAGTAGCATTTGATCATTCCAGAAAATACTTAACATTTATTTTAACTGTTAACAATAGCTTCTGATCAGTCTCTATATATTGGCCTGAGACAGACCATTTGTGTTGTTCTTTTTGATAGGAAGAACAAGCAGAAACTTGATATTCTAGTCTTTGATATTAGTGTGTTTGTTCTGATCTTATTCATGTTTGCAGCATACAGTAAAGTGTTGTGTCCTTTCATTTACTGTAGATTGGAGTTATAAAATAATTTGAGATTTTGTATTAAGTTGTAAGGCTCTGGATCAGATTGTTTTAGCTGTTACTAGTGGCTCTAAAACTTGCTCAGAAAATGTTCCAATACTTGCCCGTACTAGTCATCGTAAAAAGCTATGATTTTGAAGCGATGCATGAATTTGTGAATGCATTATTGTACTGTAAGTTGTTGCGGCTTTTGCCAAATTGTGTTTGTTTTCAGTTGATTTACCTACACAATTATTAGCCACAATTCTTGATGTTTGTTAATGCTGCAGTGTGAATTATTTGTATTTGTATAAGCATAATCTTTTCATTGAATTGATATGATAATAACAAGATATACACAATAACAATAAGCATCTAGAATTGAATTGATTCCCTGTATTATAAATTCATTTATTTCTTAAGTTCAATCGTCTCTCCCGAAATCTCAGAAAAGCCACATTGTTATTAATATTTTCTAAATTATTATTCATTTTTAAGTTATTGTTACAGTCTTGTTTTTACGGCTAGCGCTAAAACTATTCCACTTTTGCATTCTTTAATTCAAAACCTTTCCAAATGAAACGCAAAATAATTGCAATGTATTTATCTATATATCATATTCCATTTACGTGGACTCTTCTAGCCCTATATTTTTATTTGAATTAACTTGCACATCTCAAAACATTCTCTTGCACTATTTCATCTGTTTAATTTGTTTATGTCCTATGTATTCATGTTGCATTGTTGGAGGAGCCTTTGACTTAAGTTTTTCATCACCATATCTACACTGTAGCTACTGTGCACATGACAATAAAACCTTGCATCTTGAATCTTAAAATAAAGTTCACTAGCTTGTGTTTGAACCTTTTGACCTTTGACCCTACAGGGCTCCACAGCTCGTACGTGGGTCACGCAGGGCAGATAGATCCGGAGCTGAGGGCGGCATTATCTCCGGATTGCCACATGACGCCCGTTTTCGATGAGCGCTCCTTCCACAGCCCCCTGTACCACAGCCCCTCCCACGACCCCTCCCTCTACAGGGTCAACACAGGTACTGCAGCACTACAGAGAGATGCAGTGATTACGTATTTTTGTAGGCCAACCTGGAAGCTAGCAAGGGCTCCCTCGACATAGAGCATTTTGTGTGCATAGCAGGGGGTTAGTTTAAGAGATCAGACATTTAAACAGAAACATATTAGATTAGATATGATTTTTAAAATTGGCTTTCATACTTTCCAGCACTACTTTGGATTAATATTAGCTAACATTTTAAATTAAATAGTAACTGCTTCGTCTCAATGTATTTAGTTTATTTAAAAAAAATGTATTTGCATTTTAAGAAATTATTCGCAAAGCATACATAACAAAATAAACACATCTAGGTACATCAATTAACTACATTTTAAGAGATCACACATTTAAACAACATTTTTTATGATTTTTGAAACTGGCTTTCATACTTTCCAGCACTATCTTGGTCTATTAGTTAGTTATGCAGGAGTTGTGATGATAACAGTAATTCACACTAATCCTCCAAATAACTCACTTTCAAAACTTTAAACAACGTATTTTCACATCAGCGTCCCCCTCAGGTGCCCCGCTCCCCAGGTTGAGAAACCCGGCTAACTTTCACATCTGCTCTGAAGATTATTCCTCTAAAAATCAGCGAGTGAAATCTGGGTCTGCCGGCACAGGAACTGTTGTTGTTATGGCTCCCCGAGGTCACAACTTAATTATGCAGAAAGCTTTCATGTGCTTCTTAATTGAAGCCTTTGCAGAGCAATTTAAAGCGGAAAGCTCTGCGGAGTTTGATAGTGGAGGATCTAAGGAGCCATTTTAGTTTCGTTTAGCTGAGATTTAAACCTGTGAGACAGCCGGATGCTTTCAAACGCCTCTTTTAGGCTCTTATGTAACTCATATGTGACCTTGGATGCATTTTGCTCTCGATAGAAAACTGCATACTATCTAAATGCTGCTATTTTAATCTCAGAAAAAACAAAGCCTGTGTAAAATGTGTTTCAAATCCAGCTCAGTTTCTCCCCCTTTTCTCCCCTCAGGTTTGGCGACCCTCCCCCGGGCCTCGAGCCACTGCGGTACGCTGCCGTTCCAAAGAAGCAGCTTCGGGCTGAGCACCGCCGCTCTATACGTGGACCCCTACCGGGAGCCCATCTTCTCCCACCGCCACTCTGGGCTTATCGAGCGGGGGGTCACGCGCACCCCCTCCCTCGAGAGCATCCATAAGGACCCCAGGTACTCACTTTAGAAGAGTCAAGATACACAGTATGCATTTTAAGACCATCATAGTATCAGATTTTAAAGTAATTAAAACTTTTAAAAGTAAATTAAAAACCGATCTTTTTAATTTGGCTTATAATTTGGGGCAATTTTTTTGTAGTATCACTTCATTTGTTATTGTCATTTTCTGTCATACTCTGTAAAGCACTTTGGGCTGCGTCAAGCATGAAAGGTGCTATATAAATAAAGTTTATTATTATTATGACAATAAATAAATAAATAGTTATGCAAAATGTATTCTTAACTTTGGTTACATATCCATGTTTTTACAAAAATGTATTGTCATTCAAATACATTTTAACACAATATCATCATGTGTGCATTATTAACATATCATTTATTTAGTTTTTTGACTTTTTTGTCATCCATGTTTTTGCAAAAATACATTATTATTTACATACGTTTTCTATTGTCATAAAAAATATCAATATCAGAGTTGTTTGCTTATTTAGTGATTACATTTGAAATGAAATAGTAACTTCTTCGTCCCAATGTATTTAGTTTAACCTGCATCTTGAACAGCTGCTGCTTGGTGATACTTCCTGGTGGAAAAAGGAGACCAAGTGTACGTTTTTCCCCTCAGGGAGTTTGCCTGGCGTGACCCCGAGCTGCCGGAGGTCATCCACATGCTGCAGCACCACTTCCCCTCGGTGCAGGCCAACGCCGCCGCCTACCTGCAGCACCTGTGCTACGGAGACAACCGGGTGAAGGTGGAGGTGAGGTGACGGGGACACGCTGCGCCGCTGTCTGCTGAGTAAAAATAGAAAAGCAGACATCAGAGTCGTGACTCAGTCCTCAGGTGGAGGAAGGAGCTGCTGTCAGCCTTCACTCCTTTTAAAAACAGATTTAAAATGCATGCAGATAAAACCCATGTTTTCCTAAAGGAACTATTTGACGAGGCACATTTAAAACACTTCCCAGAATGCAAGGACAAGGACTTATTTCACACATGTAGGTGAAGATAAGATAAGATTTTTTCGGACACAAGAGTATGGTAATAAAAGGCATACAAAGCATTTACATCGCCTCATACCTCTCATTGTATCTCTGCTCTCTTTCTTAGAGTTTATTCTAAGGGTTTCATATTTAGTTTTTCTCTGCTGCCAAACTCTGAGCCAAAGCGCCATCTGCTCCAATAAAACTTTAGGTAGCGTCGGTGCCAAATGTGCCGCCGCTCGCTCTCTCTGTGCTCCGCTTCCCGGGCAATAAATAACTCCAGCTCAACGGCAGGAGACGTTTCAGTGCCGTTTGGTTTGTTTGGTGATGAGCTTTTAATTATCCTTTGGAGCAGCCTGGAAGCTCGCCTGCTCATTTTGCCAGAAACAAATGTTTTCTGTGGCGGATTGAACACAGAATCAGAGGTGGGGGGGGTGGAGTCTGCTGCTCTCCTGAGACGCCTTTATTTAGAGATGACACAAGCAAAGTTTCCACCATGCCACAGGGAGGATTTAGCATGGTGCAGCCCCACTTTTACTCCAAAATAAACACTGCAATTTAGCATTAAGATCTACTACATTACATCAACTGTATTAATACTACTACTAATACTGCTGTTAGCAAGTGTGGTGTAAACTTCCTCACTGTATGTGTTATAATAAATAAACTGTATATTGTTGCACAATGTGCAATTTGTATTAGTATTATTATCATCATGATTATTATTATTTTAGTTCTAATTGTTAATATTATTAATATTTTTACTTTTTTTTTTTGCACAGTTGCTTTAACATGTTATGATTTTAGAAATACTTTTATTCTATATTGAGTTTTTTAGCTTTTTTTTATTTAGTTTTTAAGTGGAAAAAATGTAAAAAAAAAATATTCCCCCGGGATAAACGAAGTACTAATAAGTACTATATATTATTTCTGATTCTACTTCAATTCTTACTGTTTTGTGAAAGCTTTATCAAAGCGCTCAAATAGTTTGGTGTTTCTTTATATCCGTGATTTTTAAAGAGGTGACGTGGCTGTTGTTATTTTTGACTGACTCTGCATCACCACGATAAAAATAAATAAATAAGTATGACACTTCTACATCCCTGCAGCAAGGCAGAACACACTCCCAGCTGCTCTTAATTTGCTTAATTAATCCGTGTTGTTGATTGTACTTTGTGTATAACTCCTCTCTCTCACTGCCCCTCTGCAGGTGTGTCAGATGGGGGGGATCCAGCACCTGGTGGACCTGCTGGATCACAAGCTGACGGAGGTCCAGAAGAGCTCCTGCGGGGCCCTGAGGAACCTGGTGTACGGGAAGGCCACGGACAACAACAAGGTGGCGCTGAGGAACTGCGGGGGGGTGCCCGCCCTGCTGCGCCTCCTCAGGAAGACCACCGACAACGAGGTCCGAGAACTCGTCACCGGTATGTCGAAACGTGGTCTCAAGGGATTTGACACACAATGTTTAGCTTCATTGGTTCTCAATGCATTGTGGGTTTCCTTGACGGGTTAGACACATTTGCAAAGGAGATTTTTTTAAATATTATGACTTGCTAGCGATCTTCTTTTAATGCATTAGTGCCAAACTTTTTTCACTGAGGGCCATACAGTAGCCTCATATAGTAAGTTATAAGTTAGCAAAATCAATCAAATGTAGGTAGATGATTCTTGATAATTGATTATGCTTAAAGGTTTGATTATTTTCATTTTGTTACAAAAAATGCTGTCAACTAAGATTTGTTAAAAAATGTTTTCAACTTGAATTGACTGAATGTATTCAAACATTGGGCTTATTAACACATGACTACTGTGAAATATATGTCTACATATATATTTAAGAAGAACATTATAAGTGAAGCACAAGTTTCAGATGTGTGCCATGTTCCATTATACTTTTAGAAGTAACCAATAAAAAATAGACCTAGGGACACAGTTGGCCCCCGGACCGTAGTGTGGACACCCCTGCATTAGTGGATGCTTCTCTATGTTTCTCGGCTTGCTTCCGCCATCAGCTGTTAACCCACAAAAAAACTGAATTCAGCGTGTCAGGAAAAACAAAGAAAGCAAAACAACAATGCTATGAATGAAAATATAAGTCATAATACTTGATAGACTTCACTCAAGACACTTTGAGGCAGTTTAACCCTCTGATGTCTTATGTTAAATGCAATCTAAATGAGCAATGAACTGTATACAAATGTTATTTTTATATACATATTCTAATGTGTTTAACCAAGAAAGATGGGTGAAAACGTGGAGTAAGGTGTATCTCTTCATAACATCTGAAAAAGTCACCAGTGTTGGGTTTAGGTCTTTTATTCGTGACTAATGAGCATCCATACTCACCATAACATTCAACATTGGAGCCCCGCTGTGGTGTGTGTGTGTGTGTTTCTGTGTGTGTGTGGGCATTCACCTGCTTGTCTGCTGGCCGGAGTGTGTGTGTGTGTGTCTGACTGGCTGGCAGCGTGTGAATGTGTGTGTGGGCTGTTCTGTGGGAGGTGAGAGCGACAGCGGCTCAAACACTCAGTGCTCGGTGTTGACGGAACAGATCTCGGCACAGTCATCGGGACAGATGCTCAGATAACGTGCTTTGGAAACAGCTCCGCAGCCACACGCACGCACGCACGCACACACACACACACACACACACACACACACACACACACACACACACACTGCTTAATATCAGCTGATACACACCTCATATTCTGTGGAAATACAGAGTTAAAACCTTAGGAAATGTTGCATTCTACGGCTCAGGTCAGGATTTTGATGATTAAATCTACACGTTTTACATTGGTGGATGCAGGACAACCCTACATGAACTACTCTGTTGAATGTTAAAAAAATATCAGTTACAAAAGTATGGTACTCTGATTTGTTTTAGAAGAAGAAAAAGAGCAAACAAAATGTTCAAAGGGGCTATTTGCTTTATTATAAAAACTATTTTCAGAAAAGTAGTTTTTTATACATAAGACCGAACATACATTACATCACAAGAAAGCAGATGTGGGAAGTAACTAAGTACATTTACTCAAGTACTGTACTTAAGTACAATTTTGAGATATTTGTACTTTACTTGAGCATCTCTATTTTATGCTACTTTGTACTTGTACTCTACTAAAAACTTTACATTCAAACTAGCTGCACCTTTACCAGCTTTGAGAACACTTTAATGATCAATACTTATAAAACATATCATATATATTATTCTGAAATGGACCAATCTGCACAATGACTACTTTAACTATATTTTGATGATAATAATTTCTACTTTTACTTGAGTAACATTTTGAATGCAGGGCCTTTACTGTAACAGAGTATTTCTACACTCTGGTACTTTTTAGTAGACTTACCACCATTCATAATTGTTCTCCAGTTTTCAGTGTTTGTGCTTCAGGAAGCTTAAATCTTTAAACCTATCTTTCCCCCCCCCCCCCCCCAGGCGTGCTGTGGAACCTCTCCTCGTGTGACGCGGTGAAGATGACGATCATCCGCGACGCTCTGAGCACGCTCACCAACACCGTGGTCATCCCCCACTCGGGCTGGAGCAGCCTCTCCCACCGCGACGAACACAAAGTCAAGTTCCAGTCCTCGCTGCTGCTGCGCAACACCACCGGCTGCCTGAGGTGAGCAGCCAATCAAACGCACCCCTGCTGGAGGTGTTGCACTACATTTATTCTATTCCATTCTCTGGTTTCAACACAGCTCAAGTCTTGTAGAAAAGAAACAAAAAAGATCCTCCATCGTGTTTATGACTATTATCAGCACTGTTTCACATTTAAACAGCACATCCTTTTCTCATTTAAAAGCCCCAACACTAAACAAATCCTTTCTAAATTAAAATATATATTAGAGGATGACTTTTGGGTTTGTTGGTTGTCCACGCTGCCAGAATCACAGCCACATATTCTCTAAAGAGAGGCTCTGTTATGGAGATTTGTTGCAGGAATTAAATCGTAATTATCTTTGAACACAATGGTTTGTAGAAGCAAATAACAGCGACGTCATATCAGTTAAAAATCAAAGCCTCGGATAATGATTAATCAATTTTACACCCATAAAAGGAGCAGCTGAATATAAAGCCACGCAGCTTTGGCTCATTAAAAGGCGTCCTTTAGAATAGAAAGCCATTGAAACCCAGATTATTCAGCAGCTTAACACATTGCATATTTCCTATTTTGCAATACCAAATACATTTGATACATATTGCTCTGATATATATCTTATTTAACCCTCAAACGACCCACTTTGCAGCTACAGTACACAACCATCATGATTTTAACTAAGGATATTGTCAGCGTTAATAATTAATCTGCCTACTATATTAATTATTTGGTCAATAAAATGTCGCAATAAATAGTGAGAAATGTTCATCTCAGTATCAGCAAGGTGTGATATTCACCTTCATATTATATGAAACCCATAAAAGCAGGATATCTCAAAATGTAAGATGCATTTTTTGACCTTTTTGCATAAAGAATGACTTTTAATTACCAAAATAGTTGGTGGTTATTATCTGCATACAGTCCAGGCGCATTTCCCAACGTAATAACTTGCATAAAGAATCCATAACCGTAACTTGAATTCAAACCACTCAAACAAAATGCATTTGAATGGCTCCATCACTCATCTGTGATTATGACTGCTCTCAAACGGCTGTTGATTTATTCCCTGTAACCGCTTTAAACTACATCTCTGCACACAAGAAGCCCCCAGCACTCCTCTGTATCCAGGCTGTAGATTGATGGTATAGAAATGCATTGTGGGAGTTCTGTGCAGTGTTCTCTTGTCAGAGCTCCATTAGTGGCAGCTGAAGGCTCCGATTGGAGGATCAGCTCGCTCCTTTACTTGTATCCGGGTAGAGTTGAAGCCACCATGTGGGGGAATACACTCACTGCACCTCAATATGAATTTGTGTGTGTGTGTGTGTGTGTGTGTGTGTGTGTGTGTGTGTGTGTGTGTGTGTGTGTGTGTGTGTGTGTGTGTGTGTGTGTGTGTGTGTGTGTGTGTGTGTGTGTGTGTGTGTGTGTGTGTGTGTGTGTGTGTGTGTGTGTGTGTGTGTGTGTGTGTGTGTGTGTGTGTGTGTGTGTGTGTGTGTGTGTGTGTGTGTGTGTGTGTGAGGAACCTGAGCTCAGCAGGGGAGGAGGCGAGGAGTCAGCTGCGTTGCTGTGAAGGTCTGGTGGACTCGCTGCTTCACGTCCTCAAAGCCTGCGTCAACACCTCCGACTACGACAGCAAGGTGCAGCAAAACACACACATGAACACACACACACACACACACACACACACACACACACACACACACACACACACACACACACACACACACACACACTCTGTGTATCCATTTATTCCTGGGAGATTTAACCTAACCCAGAATCAGAAACAGGTAGGTTAACACATACGAGGAATTTGACTTGGTGTTTTGGTGCATACATAAAATAAAACAAAGATTAAAAACACAGATAGAAACTATTTGAAGAAAACTATAATAACATAAAAAGAAATAGTAAAAAATAGCAGTATTTACATTGAATATGTTTGTAATCCTAGAAATAGAATTTGAATAAAATATGTGCAGTAATGAAAGACAAAATATTGAATACAGTATGTTATGTGCATTGATTAAATCTAACTATAATCTTTCATCTTAATCTTTAAATGTAAAAATGAACCTCAAAAAAGTGGTGAGATTCAGAAATTAGCGAAATTGACATTTTTGCAGCAAAAGGGACCCTGCAGATAAAAGGCAAAAAAGGTAAAGAGTAAACCAGCATATTAAATAAAGAGGCAAGCACATCAAAAAATGAAATGTAGCAGCATTATCCCAATAGGTAAAGATATAAAAGTAGTGAACGATCAGCCAGTAATAAAATACAAACTGATAAGAAAAAGTAAAAATGGCACCTAAGCAGTGCTATTGCACAACAGTTTGGGTTAATACACATTTTAGTCGTAGTATTTATAGTCATAATTAAATACTACATGTGCAATTTAAGGTATAAACTGTAGCATTTCTGCATTAAGATGTGTAAAAACAACTTGCCTTTGTTAAATATTTAGTTGAACTGTGTGCTAACATTATTCCATATGTTTCAAACCCAGAGAAATGTGTCATTGTATTCAAAGTAAAGGTGCTTTTAATGTGATCACATGCATGCATCAACTGCCAGAAGTCTCCATAAATTCACTTTTAATCCAGTTTTAAGCTTCCTTTTTACCATACCCTTTTTTCTAGAATATATATTTTAACCAGATGAAGTATTTTAGTCATGGAACATCTGGATCTTACGTTTTTCAGAGAAACACTTCACAGGTTGTGAACCAAAAGTCAATGTATTTGCACACATACGTCACTAGTTATACTAAATTAACTGGTAATAGGACACTTTAAGGACCATGTCATTATGTTTTCTGTATTAAATATAATTCTGCTGACACTGTGTGTTTGCCAGATTGTGGAGAACAGCGTGTGCACCCTGAGGAACCTCTCGTACCGGCTGGAGGTGGAGATGCCGTCCTCCCGGCTGCTGGGGAACCAGGAGTTGGACACCCTGCTGGGCTTCTCCTCCCCGGGGAAGGAGCTGGACTACATCTGCTGGGGCAAGAGGAGGCGCGGGCGGAAGAGGGGGGGCTGGCCCGACGACAAGGTACACCCTCAGAGGGGAGGACGTCTCTTTGTTAGAATTAGAATAATTCATTAATTCCTGGGATATTTGTTTTCATTGCAGTTCATTCATTTTAATGTACATCAAATCAAATATATTTGTTCAGATTAATAGGAGGTATTGAGGTCCTAAAGAAATTGATAATATGTCCTGAAAGGTACAATACAATTCTACCCTAAAAAAGAAAGAAGCAACTTGGTGACTTTTTGACTGATTTTAAAGTTGTTTTTTAAGTATACATGACAAAATAAGATGGAAGTGCATAGTTTAAAACAATAAAAGTCAAACTATACACTGTCAATTAGAATCATTTCTATTTTACAACAGAATAAAGTATATTATTTTTCTATACAGTATCTAATTTTTCATTCTCTTTTAGCTGTTTCATTTATATGAATATATATTTCTTGCACTTTTGTCACTATGTAATTAAACAATTTATTTGTAATGTTTATTGTATATTTAATGTTGCACTCTAGGAGATGTAGATGAGTTTAAATCAGATTTAATTGAGAAATAGTTTTAGTGCATCACAAGTTAACTAAGTTAAAAAATCTAATCAAATAAATATAAACATATCATATCAAGAGTAGAAGGATGTATAGAAGACCCAATACAATGCCTCTGATTTGTTATTTAACATATTCTGCGTGTGTGTGTGTGTGTGTTGCAGTGGGACGGTGTGGGGCCCATCCCAGGTTTCTCTCAGCACCTGAGGGGGGCGGAGCAGCTGTGGCACCCCATGGTGGTGAAGCCGTACCTCAACCTGCTGGCGGAGAGCTCCAACCCCCCCACGCTGGAGGGGGCCGCCGGGTCCCTGCAGAACCTCTCCGCCGGGAACTGGAAGGTGGAGCAGCTCTCTATTACAGCCAGAACACAGCACTATAAGTGAAGGGATCAAAGCAATAACACTGTGTGTGTGTGTGTGTGTGTGTGTGTGTGTGTGTGTGTGTGTGTGTGTGTGTGTGTGTGTGTGTGTGTGTGTGTGTGTGTGTGTGTGTGTGTGTGTGTGTGTGTGTGTGTGTGTGTGTGTGTGTGTGTGTGTGTGTCCAGTTCTCAGCCTACATCCGAGCGGCGGTGCGCAAAGAGAAAGGGCTGCCCATCCTGGTGGAGCTGCTGAGGATGGACAACGACCGGGTGGTGTGCTCCGTCGCCACCGCCCTCCGCAACATGGCGCTGGACAGCCGCAACAAGGAGCTCATAGGTGCACACACACACACACACACACACACACACACACACACACGCACACGCACACACACGCACACACTTTAATAAGCCTCAAGTCAAAGTTAAAGGACACTGTGATCTCGCAAAACACTTTTTTTTTGCTTTCAATTCCTAACTATGACAATTTATAATAGGATAAGAACATGAAGTGATGACATTTCAAACACATACACATGTAAAATGGTTGACAAAGACAAATAGTTTTTTTAAAGATATTTATTCCCTTAGGTGTCCTCATAGCAAAAGCAAAACAAGAATATGCGTGTGTGTGTTTACAGTACGTGTGTTTCTGTGAGTGTGTGTGTGTGTGTGTGTGTGTGTGGTGTGTGTGTGTGTGTGTGTGTGTGTGTGTGTGTGTGCGTGTGTGCGTGTGCGTGTGCGTGTGCGTGTGCGTGTGCGTGTGTGTGTGTGTGTGTGTGTGTGTGCCACAGTGTAATTATCCATTTGGCTGCTGCTAGACAATCTACTTATGGTTATAAATTCAAACACATAACGAACAGATTGATTCCAGAAAGCTCAAACTGTGAAAAAGATCCTCCTCACACTCTAGGAACATTAACAGCTTGTTAAAAATATATATTTAGAGTTTTATATTGCATCACAGTAACTCCATTTATTCACATCAGACTGAATTCTAAAAGCACAGCGCCACCTTGTGCACAACAGCTGCAATATAGGTGTAAATATTCGAACTGTAAACATCTGGATTATTAGTAGAAAGTATATTAAAGTGTATGATGCATTATTATAACTTAGCATAACACTTTATTGACCCCTTATCAAAGATACCCAAGAGTATTTAAAGTAAAATAACAAAAGCAGCTGCAATAAAGGTGTAACTATTCTCACAGGTGAACATCTGGATTATTAGTGGTGGGAAGTAACTAAGTAGAACATATATTATAGTGTATCATCATATAGTTAAGCATAACACTTAATCAACCCCTTATCAAAGCTATCCACCAGTATTTAAGGTAATTAAAATCAAATAAAAGCTGAATCATTAAGGACCTAATGCATTAATGATTAAGATTAATGTGTCACATAAAAAAAAAGAAACTCAAAAACAACAAGGAGATTAATTAGAATAAATTGCCCTTATCAAATGATACTTAAATTAAGAATCAAACCTTAGAATAAACTGTCTATAAACCTGCAATCAAAGTAATGACACTCTTTATCATAATTAGGTTGCCCTAACAATAGAATACTGATATAATATATGACATCATTAATGGTACAGGAGCTGCTCACAAAGCACCTCTGGTTTTCCAACATGGCGAACATGTCCCTGTCTAAATAAAGCTGATGTTGTGCGTCCCCCCCCCCCCCCTCAGGAAAGTACGCCATGCGGGACCTGGTGACGCGGCTGCCCGGCGGCGGTCCCTCCAGGCTGTCGGACGAGACGGTGGCGTCGGTGTGCTGCACGCTGCACGAGGTCACCAGCCGCAACATGGAGAACGCCAAAGCTTTAGCCGACTGCGGAGGCATCGAGAAGCTGGTGGACATCAGCAAAGGGCGAGGGAAAGGGTAACCAAAGCTCACGTTTAAATGCTTTCTTTTTAGAATACTGCAATAGATTTGACTTTTTAATGTCATGAGATGTGACTGCAGAGTTTTACCTGTGATGAGAATATGCAACATATATAAATATACCTTTGATTTATTTCAGCTTTTAACTTTTCTAAATGATTCATTATTCTTTTGTTATAGAAAGTCACTAGATTGTTTTTTCTTTTTTTGTTGGTGGTCATAATATATCAGCTTTACCGAAAATGTAAAAATAATTTAGTTTTGATTTGTATTTAAATCTTTATTGTCACATTATACATGCTGGTTACAACAACATAACAATCATGTAACAAAAGGCCAGCAAGGCAATACAAAATAAAAAATAAAATAAGAGTCTAGGGATATGTCTTCATTATTATATTCTTGAAGATACATATATCTTTTAAAAAATAATTTAGTTTTTAAAAGACGTTTTTTTTTTTTCTGCTTTCCATTACTTTGAATTATTTAACCTTTTATTTTAGAAAGCAACTAGATGTATTTTGGTGTTTGTTTAAAATATATAAAAAACACAGCTTTTAATTAATTTTGATCTTTTCTTGTTCATCAGATGTGACAGCTTTATTGTAATTTTTCTGAATTATTTAGTGTTCTATTTAAAGATATATCATGTCTCTTTCAGATCTCTCCAGAAAGGGGCATCAGTCTTTTTTAATGTATTATTCTCTGGCAATTTTTCTTATTTTACTGACAATGTTGAGATGTGTAAAATAACTTATTGCGCTGCAGGTACTCCGTGAAGGTGGTGAAGGCAGCAGCTCAGGTGTTGAACACGCTGTGGCAGTACAGAGACCTGAGGACCCTCTACAAACAGGTCTGTCCACCCTTCACTTACCCAGAATGCATGGCGAATTAGTAACTAGCGTTCTAAAGATCTATGTTGTGTGTGCAGGACGGCTGGAACTACACCCACTTCGTCACTCCGGTCTCCACCCTGGAGCGAGACCGCTACCTGTCCCAGCCCACGCTGCCCACCAGCCCCATGCATATGTCCCCCATCATCCAATCAGGTGAGAGGATCAGTCAAACATTAAAGGCGTATCCTAAAGAAGATTCAAGGCTTTTATTGTCATTCGTACATAGCTACAGTGTAGTTATGCCAAATAAACGATTAAATAAATAAATAAGAGGCTATATACAAGTGATAAATAATCTGTAAATTGCAAACAGGTGAATGTTATGGATGTTCTTAGTTCAGGTGTTTAACAGTCTTATGGCCTGTGGAATGAAACTGTCCCTGAGTCCCGTGGTGTTAGACCTGAAAGAAGTTAGAAAGTTTGCATCTCAAACAAAAATAAATGTTGTTTTTGTGTTTCTTCCTCAGGTGGTAGTGCAACATCCTCCCCGGCGATGCTCGGGATCAGGAGACACAGTTCCAACTATCAGAGAGCGCAGTCATCTATGCAACTCGACACGTATTACGGAGACAACAGTTTACACAAACGGCAGTACACAGGTCTGTGATGATTGAGGGATGGTTTCTGTTCAAACTTAAACACCAAATAATGACAGTTTAACATGTTGTGTCTGATGTGTTTCTCCTGATTTTTCCCCTTCAGGGTCTGAGAAGAAAACTCCATATTTCATCGGGACATACTCTTCCCAGTCAGGAGAGGATCTGAGACGTTCCCAAGTAGGACAATAACATGTTTTGCCCCATTGTATAAAATACCAAGCTGTGAACACAACGCAGGACATTAGATTCATGCAGTTATTCATTGATGTCATGTTTTAGGCAATAATGCAAACAAATCACTGGTTCTAACTCCTTACAATTAAATATACTCTTGTTTTATTAGTCTTACATAATAGTAATACTGAATATTTGTATTTTTTTGGACAAAAAATAAGCTGTTTCAAAAGTCAAAGTGAACTTTATTGTCAATCTTTCAGTTTGTGTGTACAGACAGAAAGATCGAAATACATTTTCCCACAATCCCGAATACAAAAAATACAAATATATATAGAAATATGTATATATACACAATCAACAGACACATTTATACATATGCACACATTAAGACATAAATAAAAAGCATAACAACCATATATACAACATTACAGTCACTTCAGTATCTTTGGGATATTTCAAGACCTCAATTTACTTAAATTAAGAATATTACAGATTAATGATACAATTATTCAATTCAAGCATTTTTTCTTACAAAAAAGTACCTTTTATAATTATTTGATGCCAATAACTGCAATACAATTATTTAATTAAAAGTGTTTTCTTGAACCTTGTTAGAAACACCTTCTGGGATACGTTCATTTTATTGAAATATTTACTTTGCCTTTATTAATGTTGGTGTGATTTTACAAGTGATACACTCCCCTCTCTCTCCCCCTCGCAGCACACAGAGCCATTTTACGACGAGCCCGACAGGAAGAACTACAACAGCTACAGAATGTACCTGTCGTCCCCTCAAGACTACGGAGAGGAGCCGTACGACGAGGAGGAGCCGGGGCCCCTGACCCCCACCCCCCCCGACGGCTATGCTAGCCAGGCGCTCCAGTTCAAAGCCAACACCAACTACGTGGACTTCTACTCCACCACGCGGAGGCCTTCCAACCGGGCCAACAAGTTCACCGGCTCCCCCGACTCCTGGGTGTAGAAACGAAAGGACCCAGGTGTACGAGGAGATTCTGTTTCTGTGATTGTTTTTGTGTGGGGAGTGCAAGGTGGAGGATGCATGTGAATCTATGTTGACCTGTGCTCAACAACAGGGCTCGGTTTGCTACAGTTACACCATGTGCACAATAATGCAGATGAACATGAACTATTCCTTTATTTGTTCTTTCTTTACATTTAAAGCCAATGTAACAAGTGTTTTGAGATCGTATCAGTTTATTGCACTTAATGTAGTCCCTATAGATAAAAGCTTAATGAAATGTAATGAGAACAATATTAATGCTTTAGTTAACTAGACACTTTTTGATGACAAGTCAAAACTGCAGTGAATCTACTGGACAGAGCCAAGGAGACTTAAATAGCGTAATGCAATATCCTTCAAGCTATTTTCGCACTTCCCTGTTTTCTATTTATAATTGCACCTTAAAAAAAAGTAGTAACATTACTAGGAGCTACAACAAAAGATAGCTTTATTTGATTATACTGAATTGAATATTGGATATTAGTGCTGATTTCTGCCGTAATATCCATTATTAAATTCAATTAAACATGTTTGTTAATATTCAAATAAAGCTATCTTTTTTTGTAGTTCCTGGTCAAGCTAGTATTTTTTTTATATAAAAAAAACAGTTGGTTCAAAGGGAAGCCAAAAATAGCTTGAAGGAAATTGCTTTACGCCTTGGCTCTGTCCAGTTGATTCACTGTCGTTTTGACTTGAAAAAGTGTCTAGTTGTAACTAGAGCTCTCGTACTTTAATATTTTTCGTGAACTTTTCATTAAGTTTTTATCTATTAAGTAGAGGTGGGGACTCGAGTCACATGACTTGACTCGAGTCCGACTCGAGTCGCATATTTATGGACTTGAGACTTGCTTGACTAACATTGATAAAAAACTTGACTTGACTTTGACTTGGTATTCATAACTTGAGACTTGATTTAAGCTTAAGGACTTGACTTTTTTTAATTAAATATTTGCGTTTGTTTTTGTATTGAGATATTACGTTTAGTTTTCAAATATGATTGGGTGATTATAGCGCCATGCGCGTAAACCTGGCAACCCACTAGTAGGCAGGAGCGTCAGTTAACATGGCAGCAGCTAGCGTTACTCCAAAAATAGTCAAGTTTGGATTAAAAGATTATTATTAGCGATGACGCTAATAAGAAGAGAACAGCGGTATGCAGGGTCTGCAGCATAAAGATCGGTGACAGGACCACCACAACATCCAACTTCATTCGTCACTACAAAAAACCCACAGAGAAAGGTGCGTGAATGTGTTGTGTTAGCTAGAAAGCTAACGTTAAATTTAAGCTACGTTAGACTTGGTTTCAAATCGATTAAGCATTGCAAAGAGAAGACAAAATGGTAAATGAACACTAGAACCGCCAAGGGATTCATTTGTACTAACCCTGATACTGACGGGCTGTCAGGAGAGGGAGAGAGAAAGAGCAAAAGAGATGCCGCGTTTATTTCCCCTGTGTTATTATCAGAAGTTACTGTAAACTTTTTAATAATGTAGTTCATCTACTTTTAGTAGTTTGTTTAAATGTTTTAATTATGTTGTTTTTGTTTGTAGAAGTGCATCATTCTTTGATTTATTGTAAAATGAATCTGAACTTTTTGATCTGTTATGATGATAAACTGAAGCAATTTCAAAATTAACCCAATTAAGTGAGTTTTAAATCGTCTTACTCAATTTAAATTAAATATGTGTAATGGCAAATGCCATTCTATGATTTTCTTACCTGGAATTCTGCCTTTTTGAACAGACTTTTTGATTGAGTCCTAGCTATATTGTCTGCAGTTCTAGGGTTAATATTAATCTAATATGATTGTCATCGGTCTAAATTAGATTTCAAATGATTAAAGGTGGGGTAGGTAAGTTTGAGAAACCGGCTCGAGATCGCTAGAATTTGAAAATACACAACCGGAGAAAATCTGCCACTTCCTTATAGAGCCCCTCCTCCAACACACACGAACGCGCACATGACCAATGAGGGCACGAGATAAGTTTGTGCACAGATGGAAGGCTGACAGGCAGGTAGGCCATCCAGTTATTTTAGCCGGGCCGGCTAAAATGATTGGTCGTGCTTTTTACAGTACTACGGCTTCCACAGATGAAATATTTGTATGGATTTTTTGTCAAAGCACTTAAGATATTCATTGCTATCGGGATGTTAAGAGCATTCCATGGAATATAACAAAAAGTGTATCTCGAGCCGGTTTCTCAAACTTACCTACCCCACCTTTAACTGTGTATGTAATGAAGATCATAGTGTGGGTTTAATCCATTTTCATAACCACTGTCTTTCAACTGATTTAAATGCGGAAACTGGGCTTATTCATCAGAATTTCGTATGACTTGACTTGACCTGAGCAATGACTTGACTTGACTTGCTTGACTCTCACCACAGTGACTTGGGACTTGCTTGATACTTGTAGGTCAAGACTTGAGACTTGCCCATGACTTGCACATGTAGGACTTACTCCCACCTTAAGTGCAATAAACTATGAAGATACGATCTCAAAACACTTGTTACATTGGCTGTAAATGTGCAGAAAGAAGTTAAAACAATTAAAGGAATAGTTAACGTTTGTCTGCATTATCAGTCAAAAGGTGCTATTCGAGAAAAACCCAGCCCTCACTTTGTTGTTTACCAGAGTGTTTGTTAAAGTCAACTGATTTCATTTTTCTCCGCGGTAAAAAATGTGCAGTTTGTTGGCTTTATAACATTAATAATCATGGTCACTGTTGGGAACCTTTAAAGACTCAGAGAACCGTGGTTACGTCTGTAACCTCGTGCTTTCTGTATGTTGGTGCAGTAATCTCATAAAGTATGTGAAATATGTGAAAATCTATTTGTACAGAAACAATGGTTTAACTGTCCTGTTACATTGTTGTACTCAATATGTAGAACTTTATATGTGATTGTGTGGAGAAGATTTTTCTATTATTTATTGATTCTTTCTATTCATTTTATTGTGATCTGACCAAAATACCCCATCTGTCTGTTCTGTCTAAACTGATGATAACGTGCAATGTTACAGAGGAAATATATGGGAATAAAGATTATATCATGACAAGGTTATTTAAAAGTCTGTCATTTTATTTGGACGAAAAAAACAATGGTAAAAGTGAAATAGATATATTTTTATTAGCTTTAATTGCATCAGTAGATAAGATGGCACAGTCAAACAAACAAAATGTCATCGTGATAAGTTCAATGCACGCTGCATACAAATGTCCAGTTTGTCCTCCCTGAGCATGCCTAACACAAGCTCTAATCCATGCAGTTACATTCAGTTATTCTCCAGCTCACTTTAAACAACAAATAAGCCGAGATACATGTGAAAATATTTAAAACGTTACCCAACAAAATGGCGTTACATAACGAGGTCACGTAAAGAAACGGTGTCACGTAACGTTACAGAGTGCGGGTGTTGGGATTAAATTAGTTTCAAATTTCTACTTCCTATTGGCCTTTTTTAAGGGATATTCATCAATCTGTCATTAACTCTGCGTACTAAGATCTCTGATTGTCTGATCAGGAGCTTACAAGACGCTTTGTCCAAAAAAAAAAAAAGATTTTTAATAAAGTGTCCCTGACAGAATCACTATAACTTTCTTACTTCATTAAATATCTCAGCAGGGGACAGAAGTAGTAAAAGTAACTTTGGAAATGTCAAATATGCCCCAAAACACAAGGTATTAGTATAGCTAGTAAGTGTTAGTGTATAAATACAACTTTTAGAGGGGGGGAATATTTTAACACACACTTTAACGAGCGGTTTGTGTGTTTTTGCCTGTACAAAGTGGCTGTAATCAAGTTCTTTATATAGCTTTAGCTGTCACCTTCAATGGCATCGACTGCTCAACAAAGACATGTTATTCTTAAAGGAACAGTTTGACCTTTTGGGAGATATTTGTATTTGCTACAGTATAATGAAAAGAGTGATATAGCCTAATATTGATTGAACACACTTCCAAAATGTCAAACTATTCCTCTAAATGAATAAATGCTGGCTAAAGATTCATTTAAAACCCTAAATATTTTCCTGTTCCGCCTGGCTCTTTAAGCTTTGGAAAGCTGTACAATCTCACGATCAAAAGGAAAATATTGCAACCTGCTACACTTCTCAATCCTCCACAAAGGGCCTCGTTTAAATAGTTGTGATTAAGCAACAAAATGCACAATTATAATACAAATCTTTAGTGAGGAGACAATTGTTTTTGATTGATCCTCAAAGATAAAGCAGGACTGTTCCTCTGGTACCTACATTCAGCAGATCAAACAGCTTGACGTCAAATATCAGTATATACAGGAAGGATGTGGTGATGGCCTCCCATTGGTGCTCCAGCAGGAGGGGCGGGGCTTGTTTCCAGTTGAGGTGGTGGGCATGCTTCAGTCATTAGGGGTCTGTCTGCAGGAAGCACAATAATTATAAGTACATTTTTTTTGTATACCTGTCTTTTTTATATCCATAACCAAAGAGAAATGTATTTGTATACCAAATGTATACGTAAAAAACGATAGTTACGTATGTAACTACGGTTCTATGAATACTGGATGACCGCCAGAGGCGGTGCTTTAGCACTGGATATCTGTGGATATTCTGTCTCGCGCATGCGCAGGTCGAATATTTATATCAACAAAGTCACGTGTGACTTTGTTGATATAAATATTCGACCTGCGCATGCGCGAGACAGAAGATATCCAGTGCTAAAGCACCGCCTCTGGCGGTCAGTAAGTATGAAATAGAACATGTTAACTCTACAGAGAATTTGAACAAAAATAACATTGAGAAACAATCCTGATATCCAATTAAAAACAGATGTAAAACAGAGAACATCACTTTGATTTAAGCCTGATTGATATTTGTATTTCCATGTCCAACTGGAGGAGACAATCAAATAGATTAGAATTGTATTATTTACTTCAACATGTAGCCATTATTATTAATTATTTCAACAGGAACATACGTTTAAATGTTTTTAAGAAAGAGTAAGGCAAGACAAGATTATATCCATAGCATATTTCAAAGCAATCTTATTGAATGTATAAAAGACATCAACAAGTGCATTTTGCATGAGAGGACACCTTTAACACATTAAATTACATTTAAAAACAGTCAACAAAAAGTTTCCTGCGAGTTCCAGAATGAGTACTCACAGTGTTGGGTTGCAGTTGGCTTTAGTGGTTGTAGTTCCCTCCCACTCTGATGGAGCTGCTGATGGGGGAGGACAGAGGGTGGTGGCCTGGTCTGATGGGCTTAGCTGAGGGACAGAGAAAGACATTCAGTAACATATATATCAGATATTCTCCTCTATCAAAGTGGTGGGTGTGTCACCGCTCACCGATCTGGGCGGAGAAGCCCCTCCTCGCCATGTTCTTGGCGCGCACCGCCTCCTTGATGCGGTCCACCTCCTGCTGGTAGCGCTTGCGGTCCCTCATGGAGCTCTCCTTGGCGTCCTTCAGGGCGTTCTCCAGAGCTTTGACGCGCTCCGCCGTGGCCCGCAGACGCTTCTCCAGTTTGGGCAGCTCGCAGCGCAGGTCTGCGTTGTCTCGGACCAGCTGAGGGGAAGAACATCATCAAGAACTGCAGCATAATTCTAAGGTGATTCAGTTTTTCCATTTTGTAGTACTGCTGTAGCTTAGTGAGAATGTTTACTCTAGAGCAGTGGTTCCCAACCTTTTTTGTCTCGTGTACCCCTTGAGCTGGTCGCCATTCTATAACTACCCCCTCACTCATCTGTGATAATTCCCCTACATTTTTTCAATGTATTAAACCCTTTGTTATCGTGTTTAACCCAACTGCTCCTAAATGAAAATCACTTGTATAACTCAAATTCAATACAAATGCATTTAAACTTGAAATGTACACTTGTTGTCAGGTAAAACAAATATATGTTAAGTCTCACTACTTATTTAGGAAGCCAATAATGTCTTTTTTTAGGAGAAGACCCCTCCCCTCTGAACAGTCACTTTTATCCGTCATATTTGAAAAGAAAGATTGTTATTTTCTGTATTCATGTAAGACAAAAGTTATTTATTTATTTGGCAATGACTATTTTTAAAACGCCAGGCACCTGCGTACCCCCTGCGTTCCCCTCAAGTACCCCTAGGGGTCCCCGTACCCCCGGTTGTACTGGAGTACTCAATTTATTCTATATTTCTGTTATATTGTATATTATTTAGATACTCCAGTAATATAGTATGTCCTTTCTGTTGTGAATTTGTATATACTTTTCTACATTTCAGAGGGAAATATTGTTGTTTTTAGCCTCTATAGCATCTATATTGTAACATCAAATACTGCACTTCTTTATAAATGTTTAGAATATTCGTATATGCACTTGCGTTTAGATGCTTACTGCATTTCATTTCGTTGTATCTGTACCTGCTTGTGGACCTTGGTGAGCTGCTCCAGGTTGTTCTCCAGGAAGGAGATCTTCTGTTTCTGGGCCACATTTCCAAGCCCCTCCTCACAGTCCAACTCTGCGCTCTGAGAAATAAAAACAGCACTCAGGTTAGATGTAAAAGTGTCAGAGAAAAGACACTGAACCTGAGGAAGGGGACGTACCTTCTTAACCCGCGTGGTGAGGTCCTGAACGAAGAGTTTTCGCAGGTTGTGGAGAGACTGCAGCTCTTTGGCCTGAGAGAGCAGAAAGACACATCAATACAGAGTGGTGAATTCAACTTTTATAATAAAGCTTTATTTATATAGCACTTTTCATACAACACATGCTGCTCAAAGTGCTTTACAAAATGACACATCACAAGTTAAAAATAAACAACAAGAAATTCCCCTCAGATTATTTGTTAAGAACTTTATGCAGCAAAATATAACATGTTATCAGGTTAACAGACACAAGGAGGTCAAATGTATGATAATAAGAATAAAATAAATAATGGTTTCTCTCTGACAGATAACTGAATCGATGCAACAATATCAAATATAAAACCCAAGTGAACATATAGGCACAACAGAAATACAAATAACAAGATAATAGTAATACAAATCCCATAAAGGTTAAACGATTAAGAAATCAAAAAGACCAATGTAAAAAGAAATATTGCTATTGAAGCATGTTAGATTAATAAAATAAGTCCTATAAAATAAATAAAACAATATAAAAGGTAGGTAAATAATAAAGACTAAAAGAACATTTAAAGTGGGGGGGTTGCTAATAAAAAGCTAATCTAAAAAGATGTGTCTTTAGCTGGTGTTTAAAAGGTGTTTTTAAGACTTTGAATATACTCCAAGTGTTGCAGAACAAATAGTTGAGAGAGATACAAAACTGCTTTATTAGGAAGTAGTCAAAACCCTTTTTTTTTATGCGATATGACTTTTTGTGACTTTATTTACTGGGTCATTGTAACTTTTTGGGACTATGACATAATATATATAATATATTTTTGAATTACATTACTGTTTCTGTATATCAAAGGTTCACCATTGGCCTGTGGGCTGCACTATAATAAACTTGTTATTTCTTGTCATTGTAAAAGTTATTTCTTTTTTGTTTACAACATGACAAACATGACGCTGACCTAATCTTTTATTTTCAAGAAAAATGTACGCTAGATGGGGTAGGACCAGAAACGTTTTTTTAAGCTTCTTCTTGCCCCTGTTGAACATGACAGAGACTATTTGAGAATGTATTTATTTAAAAAATGTGTACCTTGAACGTTTTTGTTGTTGTTTGGTTTTACATCTCTTTGTTATAATTATTATTATAAAAAAAAAAGTTCAATAATTTGACTAATAATAATGCAAATCGTAGTGTAAAATTAAATTAAATAAATGCCTCACCACCGTCTCCTCCAGGCCCCTCAGGTCCTCTCTGGCCTGCTCCCTCTCCTCATTTATCACACTGCAGAAAACAGAGACATTTACATTAAGATTTGAAGAATCATAAAGTTTGATATCAGTCGTTTAAAGTGCAGTGAGAAGCCTACATGAGTTTCTGCAGCTTCTCATCCTTCTCCTGCTCTTCGGCCTTCACTTTGTCAAAGTCTGACATCAGCCTCCCCTGCTCCAATAGCAGACCCTGGTTCAGACTGAGAGGGGAAGAGAAGTGGAAATAAATCCTAACTTTATCCTGGAGTATTATTATCTTCAGACATTTAAAAGCATAACGATAACAGGAAATGAAGCGGAGAAAAGCATGGGGAACTTATCTAAAAAAATATAATGCCATTTTAAGAATTGGACTTGTCACTAAATACAGACAGACTTCTGCAATAAGTCCCTCTACTGCATCTGGTGCTATTATAATGTAAAAATACAAATCAAGATGGTAGTTTTAGCCGGAGGTCCTCAGTGGATTTCACAGTTTTTTAAATAGACTTCTTCATTATTTATCTAAATAGTTATCACCGCAATAAACCGTATTTAATTTCGTCTGAATGTACAATATCTAATTTCACATTCTGTTCTACAATAAAACCTTTGAATTTGAATCTTGCATCTACGTACATGCGGGACAGATAAAACCAAGGGGTCAGTGTCCAAAATAAAAGGACATAAATGAGGATGTGTGATGTCTCCGTACTCTGTGAGCTCGTCCATCATCCTCTGCTTGTCGTCAATGTCGTCCCTCAGGCGGCCCAGCTGCTTCTGATGAGCCTCCCTGTGGTGCTCCAGCTGCTCCTCCAGCGTTTTCTGCAGAGACACATGAAACATTCATCCAGTAGAACAACATCTGACTGCTTTTAGTTTCCAGATGTGCTTCCAGGTCACCTTGATGTCCTCGTCTCCATCAGGCCTGCCGATGTCCTCCTTCTCCTTCTCCTCCCCCGAGTGTCTTTTCTCTGAGGGCCAACAATTCAATATTAGTCAACATGTGATGTGTACATATTAGATTAGATTCCTTTATTGTCACTACACAGAGTACAGCGACATTCCAAGCATTCAAGGTAAGACTCATCACCTTAACCCTATACATATATCAATCTGCAGGTCATTAACTGGGTTATTTAAACTGCATGAATAGGAGGGTGTGCTGGTTGATAAAGTGCATGTGAGCTGACCCTGGGTCTGCAGCTTGGCCAGCTCCTCGCTCAGAGCGTCCTGACTCTCCTCCAGGTGCCTCTTCTTCTGCTCCATGTTCTGCATGTAGTCCGTCAGAGACTTGATCTTGGCTTGGTGCTGCTCACACAGAGGGGAACACACACATGGGAGCAGAGACAGAGCACGAGAAAGGGTCAGTATTTATCCACAGTGACTTTCAGGAACTATAACAGAAATGGAGAAAAGTGATAGAGGAGAGCACCCATTTATAAAATAACAGCACCTTGTTCAAGTACTAAAGATAGTGAGTAAAAATAATTTTAGTAAAATGCATATACACCATGCATCTTTAGTTTTAAATAAAAGTGTACTACAAACTAAAATGGCCTCTTGTCAAAGTTTGACCGACAAGGCAAGTTTATTTGCATTTAATTAAGACACTGTGCAAAAAGAAAAACAAGAATAATACAATTACATATGAATACAATTAAAATAGTTAAAAAGTGATTTAAGTGTGGAATCACAAAACATTTGTAAATATGAATTTTACTGTAATTTTGGGACTTCTTACATATAAGATGTATGACTCTAAAAATGACTTATGAAAGAAGTGTATTTTTTTTTTAACTCAAGATCTAGACGTTTATCAAATCCAAAAGTAAAAAGAAGTTTGGGAAAAAGAAAAACTATCTTTACTTATGATGTAAAAGTGCATTCAAAACAGGTTGTTTGACAGGGTTATTTAAGTGGTTAATAGAAAGGCAATATATAGAATGTTATTTCACTTAAACTTTGTCAGTAGAAATTCAAGCCTTCCAGAAATCACTGAACCACGGATCAGCTGTCTGCGCAACACCACCCATGAGACAACCACTGTTACCTAGGTGCTTGTTACCTGGGAGATGAGCAGCTGACAGGAAGCCAGCTCCTTCTCGTTGGCCTGGATCTTGCGGTGGGCGTCGGCCTGTGCGCTCTCCAGCTGCTTGCTGCGGTTCACCAGAGACTTCACCTCCGACTTCATCTTGCTGATGAAGAGGCGGGCCACCGTGAACTCTTCCTCCACCGCCGAGCCGTTCCCCTTCGCCTCCGACAGCTGGGGGGCGAGGAGGGGTGGGGGGGCGGGTGAGACATGATGGGATGGATAAATAAACCTTCAACTGGGCTGGATAGTTTCAGATTCGTAACCGACACACGTACAATTAACAAATGTACCTAAAAAATTAGACAAACTTCATAGAACAGGGGTGTCAAACTCAAGGCCACATACGGTAACATGCCGCTTTACGGAAGCACGTTGCCCAGAAACTACATGTCCCAAAATGCATCTCGTTTTGTGACATGCGCACTGAAGAGACTTGCAATTATTTGCCCTAGACTTCTGCTTTCACACGTAGTTATTTATGAAGTTAGGACCCAAAACCGATAATAATCCAATGCAGAGGAAATAATGTAATATAATACAATATTTTATATATATTACATATTTATATATGTATATTTTTATATAGTCTTAAAGTTGCAACCATAATGCTAATGTAGCCCGCGATGAAATTGAGTTTGACACCCCTGTCATAGAAGAATCAGAATACGTTTACACATACATGGCATTTGGTTCAAACATAAACAACATCAGGAATATGAACATAAAATATGTCAAAAAAGATAACAATTAAATAAATATATATATTAAGTATTTTTAAAAAGCCAACATGTTCACATGATGTGCATTAATGTCTGTGTTAATGAGGCCGGTAACGGAAGGGTAGTCCGATTTAACAAGGTTTAAAAAGAAGAAATCATTTGTGTGTGTGTGTGTGTGTGTGTGTGTGTGTGTGACCCCACCTTGGCGTCGCTGGTCCCGATGATGGCTCCGATGTCGCTCAGGTCTCTAAGCAGCAGGTTGAGCACCTCGGCGGCTCTCTTCCTCTGCAGCCCGTTCAGCTCCTGCAGCTGACCCAGCTCCCTCTGCACGGCCGACAGCAGCACCTGCACACACACACATTGTCAGTTAAGCTTAGTGTGATGGAAACTTCTGAAGCAATGGAGACAGGACTCAGACCCATGTATTTAGCTGGTTCTGAGAGAATAATCTACATTGTGCATAACAAGATAAAGCACTCTAGAACCTCTATCAGCTGACGCCAACAGGCAGGAACAGGGAGACAAAACACTCCCGTTTTTGCAGGCAAACTGGGTCAAAGGTGTGGGCCTAGGAAATATTTCCCCAACACTTGGGAAAGTTCTTAAGATGTGAAATGACCTGGAAGTACCTCAGTGGCAGCCATGATAAGAGCTGTTTGAATTCTATCGATGATAGGAAAGGAGCTTTGACATTTTCTTTATAATCTGCTTTTGCTTAGGAAACACTGGACCTTCCTTTACTAAAGGAAAGGAGAAAATGCTGTCCCACAATGCCTTGCGACTGCATCGTGACTGAGAAGTGCTTATTAAGCATTTTACAACTTATAGCGTAACTTGCTTTGTTTTGAACGTTCAACACTATAATAATTAAATGCAGTTATATTTTTACTGTAAATGATCAAATAAACTCAACACTAGTGTTTACTGAGTTGTGTTTGGGGTTACTGAAACTGTTAAACATGTTTGAATGGTGATATACACAGTGATAGGTTAAGGCCTAACAAGTTAAGGGTATATCGCATAAAATTGTATTTATTTTAAAATATTTGTATACAACCATACTGGGATTCATGTGAATTGATACGTGTTGACTGCAGGGTGTGTAAACCATAACCATAACCATAAGCAACCATAAATTACACATTGCCTTTTTACAGCCATTCAGGATTAAGTGTTCAGTAAAATGTCCCTGTGCGTCTCCTCACCGTCTTGTGCTGCAAGTCGTCGATCAGCTGCATGTTGTTGTGGTCGCGCTCCTCCACCTCCTGGCTCTTCTGGTCGTAGTTGACGGCCAGCTCCTCCAGGGCCTGCAGCACCTCCTTCACCTCCTCCTTGGCCAGCTCGTTCTCCGCCTGCAGCCGGCACAGCTCCTCCTGGATCTTCTCGTAGTCGCGCCGCGTGGACGCCAGCAGCTGGGGAGAGAAACGGCCACGTTTATATCCACATAGACTCACACATAAATAGATACAGAGAGACAACCGTTTTGTATTTAAATCAAAAGGGGACAAACCTCTTCCTGGTCAATCATCTGCTCCTTCAGCGTCTCCCCCAGCTGACTGTGTTGGTTGATCTCATCATCCTATAGAAATATTGAGAGTAAATTAAGTCAGTACTTGCAGACCAATGAAAAATCCCAACACTACGCCTGTATTATTATAATCTTGTAAGTATTCCAATAAGTCTAATGTTTTTAGAATGACTGTATATTCGCAGCATCATTTACAATCGCTGTATGATCTTGTCAAAACACAAAAAGCTCATATTTATGATTTTCTTTTGGATTGATACTGAAGACTTTATACAGTAGTTAAGTGACATTGATGCAAAACCAGTAGGGGTGGGAATCACCAGGCTCCCCACGATACGATACTATCGCGATACTTAAGCCACGATACGATAGTATTGCAATTCTACGATATGCTAAGTATTGCGATACGATATATTGCGATATTGCAAATCACATGGGTCATATCCATGTCCGTCTTCCCTTCCTGGTTAAAAAATGTATTTGCAATATGAATAGTTTATGTAAATAACCCAATGTGTGTTATTTGAACCTGAAAAGGAGATGGCATTGTTTTTGTTACTTTCATTGCAATTGTATACATGTCTTAACGTAACTTTCTGTTTTATATACGACCATCTTTCGGAGGGATATGGTAGTTTATATTAAAAAAAAAGGTAAAATATAGATACTTGGCATCCTTGTATCGATACAACATCGCCACGCAACGTATCGCAATACTATGCTGTATCGATTATTTCCCCCACCCCTTAAAACCAGCATAAACCAGGTCATAATTTTTGCAGTGTAATGCCAATAAAGTTTTTAGATTTAGTTAAAAAAAAGGAGAAGATTCACTTTAAATTCTACAATCCATTTAGAAAAATGACCACTAAATATTGATTTTGCAGTCAAACCCTCTGAGGGCTTCAATAACTTCAAAATAGAGCAAATAAACAATGTGAGAAGTGAGGTAGAACATCTGTCTCTTGTCACCTTGTCGTCCAGCTGTTTGTAGAGGTTGCTGATGTCCTCCTCGAACTTGCTCCTCTCGTCCCCGCAGACGGAGACCTCTCCTCCGGGGGGGAGCAGGTTGTCGATGACGGGGGTGTTGTCGCACGGCTCCACGCTCTTCTGCTCTTTAGCGCTCAGCTGCTCCTCCTCAGGAACGTTCTCGCCTGCAACAGAGATTCAAATGACTCCACATCTCTAAACTTGTCCATGCTTTTATCTTCAGCAGACTGGACTACTGTAATGGTGTCTTCACAGGTCTCACTAAAACATCTATTAGGAAGCTGCAGCTGATTCAGAACGCTGCTGCTCGAGTCCTCACTAACACTAAGAAAGGGGATCACATCACTCCTGTTCTGAAGTCTTTACACTGGCTTCCTGTGTGTCAAAGAATAGATTTCAAAATACTGCTGCTGGTTTATAAAGCTTTGAATGGTTTAGGCCCAAAATACATTTCTGATCTACTGCTAAATGATGAACCATCCAGATCTCTCAGGTCTTCAGGGACTGGTCAGCTTTCTGTCCCCAGAGTCAGAACTAAACATGGAGAAGCAGCGTTCAGTTATTATGCTCCAAAGATCTGGAACAAACTCCCAGAAACCTGCAGGTCCGCTGCAACTCTGACTAGTTTTAAATCCAGGCTGAAGACTTTTCTCTTTTGCCGCTGCTTTTAATTGAGCTATTCATATCTCAAACTGCACTGTAACTTTTATCCATGTATTTTTTCTTTTAATGTTTATTTTATTATCTTTGCTTTTTAATGACTGTTTTTAAATGCCATTTTCTTAATGTCGTTCATTTTTGTAAAGCACTTTGAATTGCCTTGTGTTGAAAAGTGCTATATAAATAAACTTGCCTTATATTTGTGTTCTTATTATATCATTGTAATTTCTTTTTATAATGTAACAGGAAAGTGAACCTACATGTTGAGGGGCTGCTGGCTTCCAAAGCTATCTAAATGGTGTAAAATAAAATATAACTAGAAAATGCATTTCCAGCTGAAAATGCGTGAGAATGCTGTAAGGTGTGTACATGTGTTGCTGAATTTAGATTAAAATATAATGAATATGTTATTAGCTGAATGGTAGCTGCTTTTAGCTACAGAAACCAAGTCAGTGTGTTGCTGAACTTAGCGGAGAAATGCAGAAAAATGAAATGATTAAAATCAAAATGGTTACAGCTCAAATGCATTGCAATGACTTTGTTGAAAACTTGAAAGTGAAATGTTAAACTGGAAGAGTAGGAAAAATAGTGAAGAAGCTTAATATTTAAAAGGAAAGGTTTACAAAAGGTATAAACAACATGTTGTCAATGTCCTGAAATGGCTGAATAATGTAATAGTTTAATGGTTTCTGTAGCTGAAAGTAGGCTGAAGGAGTTACATATTAAATGTACATATTAGTATACTGTAAAGTAGTAGTAGCTGTAGTAGTAGTAGTAGTAGCTGTAGTAGTTGTAGTAGTAGCTGTAGTAGTAGTAGTAGTAGCTGTAGTAGTAGTAGTAGTAGCTGTAGTAGTAGTAGTAGTAGTAGTAGTAGTAGTAGCTGTAGTAGTTGTAGTAGTAGTAGTAATAGTAGTAGTAGTAGTAGTAATAATAGTAGTAGCTGTAGTAGTAGTAGTAGTAATAGTAGTAGTAGTAGTAATAGTAGCAGTAGTAGTAGTAGTATTAGTAGCTGTAGTAGTAGTAGTAGTAGTAATAGTAGCAATAGTAGTAGCTTTACTAGTAGTAGTAGTAGTAGTAGTAGCAGTAGCTGTAGTAGTAGTAGTAGTAATAGAAGCAGTAGTAGTAGCTTTACTAGTAGTAGTAGTAGTAGTAGTAGCTGTAGTAGTAGTAGTAGTAGTAGTAGTAGTAGTAGTAGTAGTAGTAGTAGTAACAGTAGCAGTAGTAGTAGCTTTACTAGTAGTAGTAGTAGTAGTAGTAGTAGTAGTAGTAGTAGTAGCTTTACTAGTAGTAGTAGTAGTAGTAGTAGTAGTGGTAGTAGTAGAAGTAGCAGTAGTAGTAGCTGGAGTAGTAGCTTGTGTATAAGTAGTTGTAGTATTAGTAGTTGTATTAGTAGTACTAGTGGTTGTAGTACTGTAGTTGTAGTTGTAACAAGTCAAAAGACAACGATAAACTCTGATAAAAAGGAAATGTAATTTCTCCATACTTCGATACATATTTTTTGTGTTGATGTGAATCAAACCACACCCGTTCAAATCCTAGAGGGGTGTCACTTTGAACATTTAGTTTGCTCTTTTTCTTCTTCTAAAACAAATCAGAGTACCATGCTTTTGTGTGTGTGTGTGTGTGTGTGTGTGTGTGTGTGTGTGTGTGTGTGTGTGTGTATGTGTGTGTGTGTGTGTCTTTTTATTTAGAAACAAATCCTTATCCTGAGCTTCTTGTTTGGATACAGTGATATTCTAGGGCTTTTATTTGAAAAATACATCCCTCTTCCAGCGCTTCCTGTAAGGATATAGGAAAACTATAGGGCTTTTATTTTTGAAGGGGTGTGTGGTTGGGGGGATGAGAGGGGGAGTAAATCAAATCTCTCCCTGTGTGTGTGTGTGTGTGTGTGTGTGTGTGTGTGTGTGTGTGTGTGTGTGTGTGTGTGTGTGTGTGTGTGTGTGTGTGTGTGTGTGTGTGTGTGTGTGTGTGTGTGTGTGTGTGTGTGTGTGTGTGTGTCTATCTGTCTGTTAAAACAATTGGTATTACATTTAGAATTTGTTATTTAAAAAAATAACCTGTTACGTAGTTACTTAGTTTATACAGCCTAGGTCCAAAATAAACTGTGTTCATGCACATTTCTTCCACATTTATGCATCAGTCTACAAACTCTACATGAAGTGTTTTGCCTCCTGTGCGTAAGATGAGTTATTTTGTTAGTAAACAGTTACTAGTTGATTGTATGTATTTCATGCAGCACAGCCACATGTGTATCATCCTTTTGGTTGTGTTTATGTGTTGTTGTTGTTGTTGTTGTTGTTGTTGTTGTTGTTGTTGCCGTTAGCAGCAGTGTGACTTCAGTGGATGGAGAATCGATGCTGTAATTACTATTGACGTTTTAATTGTGAGGAAAGTCATCAGCTAATGAGAAGATGGAGAGCAGAGAAGGAGGGGGAGAGGGGGGGGTGAGGAGCTGCTGCGTTTCAACGACTCGGCATGGAGCCAGCGCTGAGTCATGGCAGAAACTCTGCATCAGCATAATGTGTGTGTGTGGCCTCTGTGTGTGTGTTCAATACATTTAGGTGGAGGCTGTGGAAGCTAAATTGTTGCTAAGGAGGCGGAGTGGAACAAAGGAATCAAAGGAATTAAAAGACAGAGAGAGAGAGAGAAGGAGGAAGGGGGAGAGAAGGGGGAGGGAGGAAGGGAGCGGTTACCATGGAAAAAGGGCGAGGAGGACTGCAGTCTCATGAGAGGACGGTAGTGAGGAGGAGAAACAGAATAACAGATATCTAAACTCCCTTCAGAGTGTGTTTATGTAAGTATTCAGATGCTGTACCAAAAAAAGTACCAATACATTTTGTCAAAAATACTACATTACAGGTAAAAGTCCTGCATTCAAAGACTTAAATATAAAAAGTAATTATTGTGCAAAAAATGATCTTGATGTGTGTATATAATTATATTGATATGAGACATTTATAGATAATATTGTTGCCTCAAGTAGCATTTCAGATATTTGAATTATTTGACTCTTTTGTGACTTAAAGAGTTTTGTTATAAGTAGCTAAAGCTGTTTAATAATTGTAGTGGAGTACAATTACATTATCAAATTGTATTCATCCCTAAAATGGACCAACACTTTCTAAAACAATGAATTTAGTTTTTATTCTTGTATCTGCAGCTTTTCGCTCACCGTTCCTCCAGCGGTTTAGCTCGGCCTCCAGCCTCTGGATGATGGTTTTCAGGTTCTTGTTCTTCTCCTTCTCCCGCTCGTATTTCTTCTTCCACTCCTCGGCCGTTAGCTCCAGGTTCACAGACACCGTGTTCTTGATGGTCTTGGCTCTAAAACGACATAAAAAGTGTGAGGTCAATCTGATGGAAGGCAACATATATTATCCCAAACAGTTTTCATCCTATTAACTGTATAGCCTGAATCGTTTGGTATAGAGTGCCACAGCGTCCTAAAACCCGGAAGTGAGTTAGCATTTTACCAATCGAAATAAGGTCTGTGGTTGAGACACATTTAAGAGACAGATCACGTTTTGTTCTACAACATTAAATCCATCAGCAGTGACCCCACTGGTGATTTTTGAAGAGTTTACGTGTTGATGGTTGTTACCAAGTGGCTGAATAGGACTACAGAAGTTGCCGAGGCCGTTGTACGTCATTACACCGAACACGTAAACACTCCTCTAAGTTTGGTTGCCCTGTTCTTGAAAGCAAGTACCTGCCTCCTGCAAACTGTTCAAACAAACGCTTCAACTTGTACCATTTAGAATCTGTATGTTTGAATATGGATCTTAAGTTGGCGTGACGTTGAAGCAGCGACCCTGCTGTAGTTCGTTTATAGCATAACGTTAGCATTTTGCTTCTGGCGATTAGGTTTATGATTCGAAAATTATAAAAGTAGGGTAGACATGTGGATATTATCCGGCTGAACAAAACGTGATCCGTCTCTTCAATGTGTGTCAACCACAGACTTTATTTCAAGCTATTTTCCAAAATCCTATGGAGAAATTGCATTGTTTTTTTGTCGAAGGAACCGGAAGGAGTTTACTTCCGGGTTTTAGGACGCGTCACTGTGGCACTCTATTAGAACATGGAGTTAGGTGACCTTATATCCATGAAATATAATTCAGAAAATCAGGTATATTTTATTCGATGTCACCATAATGATGTTGTCATTGAATACAGTCAAAAATCTGCTTTGAAAACGAGAACAAAACAATACGTTTTCACAGAAGTGGACACAAATTTACATTTCGTAAATGTCCTTAATTCCTCGTCCTCTTTTAATTAATCCACGGGTTGAATTTGTCAGTAGAATACAACCTTTCTTAGCTTTGTGGAAATCTTAATTAGGACTGAAACTGAAGAACAGAGAGCAGATGGTGCGCAGTAATCTTTATTACATCAACTGTTTGAACCACCAGCCTGTGGTACAGAACTCAGGGCACATTTTCCTCTTTGCACACGCTCAGACTGGTCATACAGAATGTGACTTTATCTTGTTTCCAGAAGTTAAAAGTACCATGTTTAGTACATTCTAATAAAATAAATGAAGTGTGTGAAAAAAAAAGAAAACATTACATAAAGATTAGAAATAGTGCAATATTTTAGAATATTCTTGGTTTTAGAAAACAAATGAGCCTCGGCCAATAAAAATAAAAGGTGTAGAGAGTTCCATCAGAGGGATAAATACACAGAAATAAACTAAAATGCACAGTGGGAAACTAAAAGCCATCTGCTTGTTTGTTTTCAGCACTGACGTCAGACAAAAACTGAGTCACAGTTTTTGTGTAATATTGACATTTTTACATATTAATGTAGATATTGTACACAGGTTTATTTTAACATCTATTGTTTATATAAATGTGGTTATTTTTATTATATCTTATTATTTCACAATTTTACTTTAAATGTATTTACATATTTTGATTGGATTTTATTATATTTGTTAGTACGCGTTTTTCCTTTAACTTCTTATGTTTAGGTATAAATATTTTAAATGATTTAATTCTAAAAGGGGCAACGTTCAAACCAGCAATAAGGAATACTGACTGATTGAGTAACTGTTTTAAAAATATATATATTTTATATTATTTCTGTATTTGTATCTAAAGCTGTATTGCATTGTTTATTTTGTTTGGGTTGTCATGTACGTGCACAGCTGTTGTTGTAATGTTGTAATAAAGTGAGAAAAAAAAAGGGGGCAACATTCACAAGACCCTATTTCCCCCAGGGTAAATTCAGATTCTGATCCCCCGAGTATCTTAATGTTCAGTTACTGTTACCTCTGTCCGAACATGAGCGTGGACTTGGTCTCGCACTCGTTGTAGACGGAGGGCGAGCAGCAGATGATGATGGTGGTCCGGCAGTTCCCCCCCAGAGAGTCCTGCAGGATGCGGGTCATCTTACTGTCCCTGTACGGCACGTGGGTTTTCTGGAAAAGAAACGCCACGCTTTCAATTCACATTCCTCAAATATGTGGAGAGGACTGTTCTCTTAATGTAGAAGAAATACTGATTATTAAACAAAAAAAGGAAACTCAAAACCCATCTCTTCGCACCTTGTAAAACTAATTTCCATCACCTAGTTTCCGTTCAACATTACCATCACTTCAGTCACATGCTTTGATCACATGGCAATACTTATGTTGATGTATAATGTTTTTATAATTGTTATGCTATGACGTTTGTATTGTGTCTTTGCTTTTGTTTGCTTTGTACAGCCCTTTGAGGCATTTCTTGTGATTTGGGGCTATAATACATTTTGATTTCATTACAAAAAAGTCTAAAATGTTACTTATTGATTTACTATTGAACTACTATATTTAAAGTAAAAATAAAATAAAAACAAAGAAACATGATTTATTGTATGCCTTCTTATATCATGAAGGGAAAATAGAATAACTGTAATTTAAAAATATTAAACTAATAAATAGAAAATAAACTAAAAATGAACCTTACTATGAGGGATTAAAAAAAGACAAAATGTTACTTAAGTAAAAGTACCAAAGTATAATGAGCTAGATATACTTAATGTATCAAAAGTAAAGAAATACTCCGTAGCAGAATGGCTTTTCATATTATTATATTACTATACAATATTACGTTATGTTATTTTCCTCCCCTAACAGATACATGTAAGACCATTTGAATGTTGTAGTTCGGCAATGTGGAACCACTTTTAGAGAAAAAGCCTGTCTTGATTGTTGCCTCATATCATGTGTTTCTATAAAAGCCTTACTGTTGCCTCGGCGAGAGCTGAGATCACGTTTCCCAGCGCTGACAGAGACTTGTTGATGTTCTTGGCCTCGTCCAACACGGCGCCCTCTGCTCCCGTCTTACTGACCTGCAGGGACACAGAGTTAGACATCAGACCATCTACTTTATATCTCTTGACCCTCCTGATTCCTCTTAGACTTACCTTCTCGCTGCCCGCCAGGTCCACCAGGTACAGCTTCCCCGACAGCTTCTTCTCCGTCTCCATGTTCTCCTGCTTGATGTTGATGAGGAAGATGCTGTGGCTGCGGGAGCTGTGCTCATTCATGTCTAGAAAGATTAAAAACCCCAGAAATGTAAAGTTGGTTCACAGCTATTTTACATGTTTACACTTAGCACTGAGCAGTTCTTCTCACCTCTCTGCTGTGTTGTTACCTTTTATTAGTTTTATAGCATAAAACCCATGCAGGAAATGTCTACTCATCCACTTCCTGAACTACTGTGCTCTGAATGAATGAGGTGTGAATGATGTAGTATGTGAAGCGCTTTGAGGGGTCGTAAAGACTTGATAAAGCGCTATATAAGTACAGTCCATTCCTACTGATTTGACAGACTATTCCATTTATCAGTTGCATTTGTTTTGGTTATTTTGTGTCTAAAAAATGACTTGGAGATTTATCATACACATGTGTTGGAGCCGCCTAACCTTAACTGCATATTTACAAAGCTTGGGCATGTCAGACATAAATGATGACATATAAATACAATATTGATTCAATTCTTCACAATTAGGTTTCATGATAAATGTAAAAGAAAAATGTATATATATATATATATATATATAAACTAGCTTACAGTATATACATAAGTTAAATCCACCAAAAAGACTTTAACTTCGATACTACATGTACATTGTTGTATTGCCATATTTACTAAACTAACTTTCTATCACTTACTTATTTTAAAGAACATTAAAAATACATACATTTAATTTAAAAACTGTGAGCAAGATGTTATTATTAATAAACTCGTATTAAGCTTACAGTATTTACATAAGTACAATTAACCAATAATAACTTGTCATGCTACAGGAAAAATACTTTAATACTAGATGTACATTGTTGTATTGCCATATTTACTAAACTAACTTCCTATTACTTACCTATTTTCCAGTACGAACATGTATTTAGGTATTATTAATATACTCGTATGAGGACACTTACTAGTCACGGCCACGTGGCGGTTGCTTTTGCCCTCGTCGATGACGTCCATCACCTCCTCTGGACTGGACACAAAGCGCTCAGTGCAACCCTGACGTAGAAAGAACATTCACAAAGTATCAAAACCATATATTTAGTTTATTATAATTAATTGTATACCTAAAGTCAGACCGTATAACTTTAGCTCAACAGCAGCCAGACTACAGTTAAAGTGCTAACATTAGCCACTACTACTTCACAGTCTCAAATGAATGAAATGCACGATTTATAATATGACTGAACTCACTGGCTTTTAGGAAATCAAAGATGAAGCTGTACAGTTCACAAACCTTGACATAGGGCACTTTGTTTTTGTCTTCATGCACAGAGAGGTTCGTCTTGGACACTTCAAACAGAACAAGGAGCACCAAAGTCACATGCGGATTCTTGGAAAAAAATACTATAAAATATCATTTAAATTCATCTTAAATCTTAAACAAATGAAATAGAAAGTCTTACTTACCATCCAGCAGGTCTCTGATCTTGTCCATGTAGATTTCAAAATAAGAAACCTGCAGAAAAAAACTCCAAACTGTAAATGTCTCCTTAATTTGAATAACTTGAATAACTTCTATTTTAGTAGCCTTTACTTTAATCCAGTACATTAGGCTGATGTGTGTAACTATCACGGCCCAAAAGCCAAGTATGGAATCATTATTACAGCTTTGCATATCTTGATTTTGGTTTTCTGAGTGTCAAACAAGTTTTTACACTTCTTTACCTTAATATGAAACTCCAGGTTCTCGTCCATGGAGTAGATGTGCTCAAAAATGTCGTTGGCGATGCGAGGGATGATCCCCATCAGCTGGGGGTCGTGCAGTTTGCCCTGAAAACACAAATGTATGTTTAATATAAAAGCTCCCAAAACACATCAGATTGACTCTCGACATTTTGTGTCATGTTGCAGCTTTAAAAACGTTTAACATCCGGGTTAAAAGGTGGAATTCAAAATCAAGTTAAATACAGTGAAGAAGGGTTTCTCCTCATTTCTTACAGATGAGATCAGAGATTTAAAAAAGGATTTAAGCTGCGTTCCTTGTGGATTAGTCTGCGAGAGGAAGTCATTTGCACTCTGTATTTTTCCACTTATAATTATATATTAATGATTATAAAATCAGTCAAATCAAGCAATCTGATTGGTTCTTAGCCGTGATATAATGAGCGTATATCATATAAGTTGAAAAAATAAAATACTGACGATGAAAGAGGAAAATGAGATTCAAAGAGCAATAAACTAAAAATAAAAATCACACTCACACACCAACACACACAATCACAGGCGGGAGGAGAAAAAAAATAGACTGCACATACCATCTCAAACACAACAAATGCTTTGAACTCTTGACCACAAATAACATGAAACTGATCAAACAGATTCATAACACATGGGCTCCCGGATTGGGCTCCGTCATGTCATTGCACAAAAAACAGGGAGGGAGGAGAGGCAGAATGAACTTTACCAAAAGAGCTCATGTGTTCTCGACACCAAACGTCACATTTTGAAATCAGCCGGAGGATTTCCTTGCCACAGATTAGAGAAAAAAACTCAACGAAGATGTTACAAAAGTGTGCACACTGAAGAAAAATAAGGACAGTTTGAAAAGGAAGGAGATATTAACCTTACAATATTACGGAGAGGCTGATAATGTCTTTTATCTTGACACTACACTTCAAATTCAGTGCTTTTTCACTGCATTCTTCAGTGTTCACACGACAAAAACATGTTTCGAGGGATCGATCTCATGAGAAAATACAGTACAACTTCAGTTCCTGAACAAAATAAAAATGCCTATATTGTTTACTTTGCTGTAATACATAGTTTGACTTTGAGGCTAGTTTAGAACATAGAGTATGATATTAAACTTAAGTACATAAGTGGGATTCACTGCCACAAATTACACTCGTCGGGGCTATACAACTTGTGGATGTGTTTTAATAGTGTTTTTTAGGTTATACTGGCTGAGAAAGAAAATACATTCTTCACAAAGTAGTGTTCTATTTGGTTTTAGGGTTATCCTCAGAAACATTGCAATAAGTTCAAGTAATTCAATCAAATCAAAATGGGAGTAACAGTTGTGAGTACATCTAAAAGGTAAAGCTACAAATAAATGACTACTTGTTTGCTCTTAGGTTAGGACATCTGAAAGAAGTTGGTACAGAGCGTGTGTAATTCAGAGTTAAAGAAAAGGTTTCAAACAATCATAGACGCAGAGTTTTTGAGCTGTTGCCATCCATTCGTATATTGCACTTGATCATTCTGTAGTGATTTCAGGTGGTAGTTGCAAGGGTAGAATTGTAGTTACTTTTCAAAAGTCATGTATCCCTCCGCGTCGTCCGTTACGAAACAAACTTACAAAGCTTAAGATGGAAACATTTAAGGTTAACTTCGACCTCCGGGGGGGTCTTACTATGGAGGAGTAGATTGAGGAGTGCCTATCTCCAGAAAGCACCTAAACGACGACATGCAGAGCTACGTGAAGAGCAGGTAGACCAACTGGAAAGGTACCACCATTCAAAAGCTTTCTGATCCTGGTCTTGAAACAAAGCAGAGAAATGATGACCGTTAGTGGCCACAGGTGTGAAAGCTCTCTCCAGAGCTACTGGAAGCCGAATCTCGGGGACCGGAGAAAGTGGAGCAATATTCTCGCCACGCCAAGCAACAGCCTAGAACAACCTCAACCTATACAAGTAACCACGTAAGCCATTCTACTGATGCTGGACAGTTTTCCAGTGGGTGCAATAAACGGCAACATACACATTAATGTAAATAAATAGCCAAATAATCGATCAACGCTCTCTGTCTAATATGTTCGCTAGCTGTTAGTGTTGTTGCATAGCAACCACCTCGCACTACTGTATGTTTTGTGCAGAAGGCAACGGAGGGACTATTTTATTTTGAACATCATTATTTACTAATAAAAACTATTTAAATTAGAGTGTGTATTTATCTTTCATATTGCCACACTTGGTAACCGTTTTATAAAAGCAATAGCTCACTTCAGGTCGTGGTATATGGTCATTATATCACAGTTAAGGGCCGTGGTTCGGTCGACAACCCCCTTAACCCCCTTAACTGTGATATAATGACCATATACCACGACCGGAAGTGAGCTATTGCTTTTATAAAATCAGTAGCCTGTCGTGAGCTATTGCTTGATTATAAAACGGACAAGTCAAATCAAGCAATCTGATTGGTTCTTAGCTGTGATATAATGAGCGTAGATCACGGGTAGAATTGTAGTTACTTTTCACAAGTCATGTATCCCTCTGAGAAAAGCTACAACCGTTACAACTGTTATATTACGTCCGTTACGAAACTAACTAACTAACTAACCGACGTCGGGCCGAACCACGCCCCTTAACTGTGATATAATGTCCATATACCACGGCCTGTCGTGAGCTATTGCTTAAATGTTGTCTCCTTGTTTGTTACGTGCCTGGGGATAAAGGTATGTCAATTTTCATTTTTGCTAACACCAGCATTTATTTATCTTATTTATTTTGTTATCTTATTTATACTGATGTTCATTGAATTGCAGTGTACCTATTAGCAGATAAATGAATATATACATTCATTCATACATAAATAAATAATCAAGCAAACAAACAAATAAATAAAAAAAATTAAAAAATGCCACTCAAATTAAAAACTATTGAAATACTTGAGTGAAGTTTGCCTTGCTGAAAGGCTTGAACAAACGCTGCATAACACTCCTATGACTGCTTACTTTACATACTCATTTCATACCTAATTTAAATGCTCCTGTTCTGCTTTGAGGCTTCGGATTCCTCCATTTTACATCAGGATAAGAGCCTGGATTTAATGTTTGATATAAATCTGTTATACAATGCCTGCTGAGCTCTAATCCCCAGATTGGAGATGAAAACATCAGAAAAGAAAGGTCATAGCCTCACTGTAATAAAAGGAATTGCTGTCACACATTTTTTTTTCGGTTATCTGAAGACTAATGGCAGGTTTCTGTTTGTGTTGTGTGTATCTTGTGTATTGTATTGCCTCACCTCCATGGTGTGTGTCTTCCCGGAGGACGTCTGTCCGTAGGCGAAGATGGTCCCGTTGTACCCGCCCAGCACATCTGCAAAAACACGAAAACACAGGCATGAAAAACAGCTGCAAAAATATGACAATCATGTATATAAATAAAGCTTAAGCTACTACTATTAATGCTGATATTACTGCTATGACTGCTTACTTTACATATTTATTTCATGCCAATATTAGGTCGTCTATGCTTTCATTATTTACGTGTTTATCTTCCTCCTATTAGTAATAAAGTGGCTTTAGATTTGTACCTTTATATCAGCCAATATCACTTTTGCTGTATACAATTAAATGTAAATATTTAAGAGAAATACTATAATTATAAAAACAGCTTATTAAGAGTAACAACTAACAAAAATGACAACGGTTTTGATTCAATTAAGATATTTGTAACTATGTTTTTGGTTTGCATGAGTTACTGTTTAGAAGCAGATAAGGTTGATTCTAATTCAAGTTCATTCTTATCCTTAATAGTATAATGATTTCCAAACAGCTTTTTCTGGCTGTGAAGGACTCAAAACTGTTTGGGTTTAAATGTAATTTATATTTATTTTTCAGTCAACCTACACTTTAAGTCTTTGAAAGCAGACATAACACTCAAAATAAATAAATAAAAAGGTGACAATAAGTCATAAAAAGCCATGTCTCTTTACTGTTATGATAAATATGTTTTTTTTTTAATGACAGATTAAATATATGTGCAAAAAACATGAAGGTTTCTATAATAAAATGTTAAATCCTACCTTTAACTATCTGCTTGGCACACTGGCCATACACTTGTTCCTGCGCCGTGTTGGGAGGCAGAACGCGGTCAAACACGTACGGTTTACCCTGTAAAGACATAGAAAACAAGTAAGTGTGCATCACCAAAGAATAGCAATTATAAAGATGCAAATATTTAATGTTTGGCATTTGCATCGACTGGTTACTGATTTAATATCACAATTCTACTTAATAAAACTGCAAAACGGCAAGCTTGTGGAACTGTATGTGTTACAAATACATACAAAATGGCTGATTTTCACTGACAACATTGGAAAATAACGATTAAATCCAACTGCAAAATGCTTGTTTCTCTCACTATGGTGTTATAAAACAGCTAGTCCTGAGCTGTCAATGCTTCCAGTCTGACTATCCATCATTCCTCCTGCCCTTGTCCAACAGTCTGGGTCTCAGAGGGGTAAAAGCCTCGTTTTAGTGAAATGCAGCTCTCAGCAGCACTCTCTCTACACCCAGTCTGGAGCAGAGGAACTCCTGACTCCAGTGAGCAGCCTCCATCATGTCTCTGCAGTTTGATTGATGGAGGTGACGTGGTGCAGTTTGTCCTCACAGAAGGAAGGGTTTCTGGGGATAATGCATTAGAATGAATAATGCAGGACGTGCTGGGCTGCTGATTCTCAGAGGGGGGAGGGCGGGCATCTGAATATTTGGTTTAAAGTACATTTAACAGATAATATTGACAGATTTTAGGAGCTAATCCCAATGTAGGATGTCTATTTCGATGCCATGTTTTACATACAGATAACGTTGTGTTCAAAGAAAGGTGGGAAAGTACAACATCTAGTTATCCTGCATCCTTTTTTTGGATGGAAAATTGAACTAAAACAGTATAAAAGGGCTTATTGAATAATGATGCAACACTAAGAACTTTAACAGCATGAGATTCAGAGAACAACAACTAACCTTTGACCCCCTCCTCTAAACTATTACTTAAACCAATATTACATAACAGTACGTCTGTCTTGGTCAATTTCAATGCAAAATATCATATAGAAAAAATAAAATAATAGTTGTTTTCACATTTTTTTGGGTGCGAAAGTTTGTATTTTCATCTCCTTTGGTATATGTATGACAGGAAATACATCACAGCAGAGATTTGTTCTGATTGGCTCTTTAAAAAATCCCTTATAAAACACATTCAAAAGTGTTTACCAGACATTGTATCTTTCTGACTATACTCTCTAAATATTTTACTAGATTTTAAACATATGTAAACACATCAAATCTCCATTGTGTTTGACCATGTAATCGCTTTCCCTCTAGACAGTTTTATATTATTTAACTAATCTAAAATGTTAATGCCTAAAGCACATTTGCTAAAACAGATTGTTATTTAATGAATGTTCTGATCAAATATTGAATTATTGTTGGTAGAAGCCCAGCATGCTGTAGTGGGAATGTTTAACCAAGTTGTACACGTTTAAAAATGTGCTTTGTTTACACTGACTGGCTGTAGTGTTCTGTATTATTAAATCAACCTTTACATAATTAAATAGACACATATAGACATCTTTAACGGAAGTTAGAATACATGAATGTAGCTACAAACACATAAACACATCATATTTTTGCTGATACAGAATAGGCTGATACAGAATAGGCCTATGAGGGAGGATTGTATACTGACTATCATTTGGTGCAATATTTAATATAATTCTCAGACTGCCATAACATCTCCTGCAGGATTTATTGCGCACTTGGCACCCCCATCCTGCAGATCTCCAGGTGACTTTCTCCTCTAAATCACTGCAGTGTTGGTATTTTAGCTCCACACACACACACACACACACACACACACACACACACACACACACACACACACACACACACACACACACGAAATCAGCATCACAGCATTTGTAGACTTGCCGTAATGACCACTGTGTCCTCCTCTTTGAATTTGGGGATGTATTTGTCCCCTCGGTTGATCTCGGACTCGTTGAGGGGCCTGAAGCGGCACATCACCCTCACCCCGCACTCCGCTGCATCCATCATGGCTGCTGGCACTGTTAACACCGCCTCCCTGGCCAATACTGCGGGCACAAACAAACAAACACACACACAGAGGATTAGTGGATTTTGCACAGAAAGTGAGGTTGGGGGACCACCAGCAGGCCTTGAATGCACTTCAGAATGCATCAAAACAGAGATTAACATTATTTGCACAATAGGATGACATCTCACCACAAGGTAGTTCAGGATGTTTCCGGTTTATCCAATGCGCAACGCGTCCTTCAACCGAGCCCAATATGTCTCCTCTGCTGCACCATAGTCACCGGATCAACCGCAGCGCTGTATCCCGGAAAAGAGCTCTCGCTTGGGCGTGCAGGCCTCCCTCTGCAGCGGTGACAGTGACGCGGAATAGCGGACTGATGTGCGTGTTATCCGGAGAGTCCGGTGTGCGGTCAGAGCTCGGAGATGCGCAGAGACAGCCGCAGCGCCCTGACTTGCGATAAAGCGCGCTCCTGTCACGGTGCCGCGGCGCGCCCCCATGCCCTGCATCAGCACCACCACCATCACCGAGTTGATAGTGTGAACGCGCAGAATGAAAACCTGCAATAATTTGTTGTACATAAATATAAAGCGGGTAGAAAGATAGTAGCTAGAGAATTCTTAATTTACTTTTGCTACTATATGTTTTTGGACGGTGGTTATTTAGCAGATTCAGATTATTAATACAAAATGCATTTTGATGCATGCTATTATAATCGATAACACAGCAGTATAGTAGCATGACAGAAGTAGCCCCAATTTTGCAAGTTTCTACCTTAAAGTGATGCTTAAATACCCTTATTATATATTAATAATGGAATACATATAACTCTGCAATGAAAACATTTACATAATGAGTACTTGATAAGATGACTTTTATAGGTGAAATTAAGATATCGTTGGCTTCTACAGTTTTATAACAACTATTCTTTAGTGACTTGCACAAAACAAGAAACAGGAGGTCCTCCTTTAATATTTAAGGTAAGATGTGAGCCAATTCAGACATGGAAAGTGATGTAAACTATTGTAAACTGTTAGCTAAAAGCAGCTTCGTTGTGTTTAGCATGCTAGCACACATTGTGCTAGTGATTAGCTAACATAACAAGGCTATAAAAAGTGTCCCGTCATGTTGCATTTTTGGGTTTGAAGTTCATTCCTAATATTAAAAACAGTCTCACCACACTATCCATTTAGCAAGAGCTGTTTCGATCACATCATCTGATCTTCACCAACATGCCGAATTAATTGAATAATCTTTTTACAGGCACTTTTCAAGCCAGCATTAAGGAGAGGTCCTACCTGAAAGTTCAGGTGTATTTTTTATCATAGATGCAAATTGGGGATACTTCTTGTTTGACAAAAACTAAATTAAAATGTGGATATTCTATCTAGTTCAATAAATAATGTCAACTTTAGGGTGTTTTTGTCAAATTTCTAGTCATTTTATTTGTATTTCCCATTTTCTTAAAGTATTCCGAGGTGTTCCTATTTGCCCACAAGAGGGCAGTGTGCAACAAGACAAAATCCCTTGACTTAAAAAATTGCTCTTAAACTCCAAACTATTTGATTAATCATATTTTAACTAAATTAATTCGTTTTTTTTTTATACTTAGAATACAAAAAACCTGTATAATACATATCAGGAGACAACAAACAAATAAGCAATACACGGCAAATTATTCAAGTAAGAGTGTCCATGTTTTTAATATCTTAAACATCTGTGCAACATTATTCAAAATGTTACATCACGGCATGACCTGTAATGTTTCACAATATTTACAAAAAAATGCTGCTTACATCAAACCATTAAAAAAAGTCCAAACAATCTCAAAATAATGGACTCTGACAAACTATCCCTAGCCCACATTAATGCAAAAAAATTAAAATAAACAAGAGCAATCAAGTGCACATCATACTTCACGCAGGACTATTTTTTGTAAAGTATATATTAGTGAGAAAATATATACTGAATTACAAGTTGAAAAAATAAAATACTGATGATGAAAGAGGAAAATGAGATTCAAAGAGCAATAAACTAAAAATAAAAATCACACACACACCAACACACACAATCACAGGCGGGAGGAGAAAAAAAATAGACTGCACATACCATCTCAAACACAACAAATGCTTTGAACTCTTGACCACAAATAACATGAAACTGATCAAACAGATTCATAACACATGGGCTCCCGGATTGGGCTCCGTCATGTCATTGCACAAAAAACAGGGAGGGAGGAGAGGCAGAATGAACTTTACCAAAAGAGCTCATGTGTTCTCGACACCAAACGTCACATTTTGAAATCAGCCGGAGGATTTCCTTGCCACAGATTAGAGAAAAAAACTCAACGAAGATGTTACAAAAGTGTGCACACTGAAGAAAAATAAGGACAGTTTGAAAAGGAAGGAGATATTAACCTTACAATATTACGGAGAGGCTGATAATGTCTTTTATCTTGACACTACACTTCAAATTCAGTGCTTTTTCACTGCATTCTTCAGTGTTCACACGACAAAAACATGTTTCGAGGGATCGATCTCATGAGAAAATACAGTACAACTTCAGTTCCTGAACAAAATAAAAATGCCTATATTGTTTACTTTGCTGTAATACATAGTTTGACTTTGAGGCTAGTTTAGAACATAGAGTATGATATTAAACTTAAGTACATAAGTGGGATTCACTGCCACAAATTACACTCGTCGGGGCTATACAACTTGTGGATGTGTTTTAATAGTGTTTTTTAGGTTATACTGGCTGAGAAAGAAAATACATTCTTCACAAAGTAGTGTTCTATTTGGTTTTAGGGTTATCCTCAGAAACATTGCAATAAGTTCAAGTAATTCAATCAAATCAAAATGGGAGTAACAGTTGTGAGTACATCTAAAAGGTAAAGCTACAAATAAATGACTACTTGTTTGCTCTTAGGTTAGGACATCTGAAAGAAGTTGGTACAGAGCGTGTGTAATTCAGAGTTAAAGAAAAGGTTTCAAACAATCATAGACGCAGAGTTTTTGAGCTGTTGCCATCCATTCGTATATTGCACTTGATCATTCTGTAGTGATTTCAGGTGGTAGTTGCTCGGTTTTGATCTGGAGGAGTGGCTGTGCATCACTTTCCATATTAAGACTGATTTTGCTTCGCAGCGTCAACACAAACACTGCCTTTTTAGATGTGCATATTATAAATAGTATGGTCTTGGAGGCAGACGTTGTTACAGTTTCCCTCCTTTAACTTATAACACAATTTGTAACAAAAACAAGTAGATCAGAACGCCTCACTGTGTTATCTGTCATCCCTATTCTTAAATAAAAAGGAACTTTGTAACGGACACATGATCTATTCACTGTTAAAAAAACATACATATACACATATAAGGCTTGAGTTCTCAACTCTTGGTAGTATTATTGCCATCTAGCATATTTGTAAAGCTTAAAATAAATATGGAGAACTGTACATAAATAATTTACATCATAAGCAAACAAAAAAATAACACAAGGCCCCTAAATGCGAGAAATGCTTTCACTGCTCGCTTGAACTGTTAGTGTTCCTGTTGATTTTACTTAAGCTATCGATGTGGCCCAAAGGACGACACTCATGAAAAAGAAATCACTGTACAAACATGAGAACATAATCACAACCACCAAATGTCATAATTCATCAATGCAGGCGAGATTCTAGGTTGGAGTTGAAGGAGAAATCCACCCAAACACACTTGTAGTCGTGATTTCATGTTGCATTCAGGCTCCACTTGTATTGTCTTAATACAGTTAAAATACTGTACAATATCTAGGTCATTATTAAGTGGGGTTTAACATGATTCATTATTGTTATTTATTTATTGTTAAATCTATAAAATGCCAAGAAACTGAGAAAAAAATATCCTTGTAAATTCTCTGTCTTATATGACAGAATTATGGGAAATCTTGACATTTGAGACGCCTAAACATTAATTTTAGGAGCATTCTTTGCCTTTTTTTCTTTCAAAAAATAGACAGATAATTGTTAAAATAGTTGCAATTCAACCAACTGGCATCTTGGAAAATAATCAATGTTGGTTCACCCAAAATGTATATATTTTTTTAAATGCAAGGGTACCATAATTACACTTATTGAACAAGTGGCTGAGGGTGGATTTTCCTTTCAGACTTTCTGTGAGTTTCGATGATTGGTAAACCAAATAAACACAGTCGAACCAGAAGTCTCGACATTTCAAGATTTTCCTGGTGGAGCAGATGGAGATTTACCAATATTTGTCCGGCTGCTCGTCATTTCCCATCATGCTTTAGGGGAACATTGAACACTTTCTGCTGGTAAAGTTCATTCTGTTTGTGTCTTTTTTCTCCAATGCAAATGAACACTGAACTCATAATGGAGAACTTGTATACTCATGCCTGTTCCACTGCTGTTCCCTTACAAAAAAAACAAAAAAACAGCACGTCTTACAGTTCATCATATAAAAGCTTTAGACTGTATTCTTATTTATCCTATGCATGCGGCCGTACGCAACCGCATTTCTGAATAGAAACCAAGACATTGGTACACTTCTGCTTTGTGTTTGTACAATAAAAGATAAAATGTGCATTATGTATGCTTGTACATGACATTGTACAATATTTACATACAATTCTTAATAGCATGACATTTCAGGATTATCTATATACATATTGAAAATGTATCAGAAATATTTGGACTGTCTATTTTTCTTAAATATGTAAGGTAATGCTTGTAGCTTTTTGTTTTTGTTGGTTTTACTATCTTATACTAGAAAAAAATAGTTAATTCAGTGAGCTGTAGACAAATTGCAACCAATGTTTTTCTCATTTTTCTTCTTTTTCTCTACAGTTCAAACTGTATTGGTGATTGGAGTTCCAGCACCTTCAGTCATTGAGTCAAGTCGATATCATGGATGTACCACTGACAGTCCATGTAGCACTTGTTAGAGCTCAGATCTCTTCAAGGCTGAACGGACGACGGCTCCGAAGGCTTGAGGACGTTGTTGGGCCGACACATTCAATGTTATCTGGATATCTTCCTCCTCTTAGGCTTGGGGAGTTTCACCTGACGATCCCTCGATGGGATCTGGAGGCAGATGGAAACAAACATTATAGGGACAGGAAAAGGAGAAGCAAGAGGATAAAGATTATTACATTTTCTCAAACTCACCGTGCCCGACATCTTATCCAGCTCACTCATGGCCTCGTGGATAGCAGCTTCCAAATGATTATTCAGTTTCCCCGGTCTGTGGAACATTAACATTTGACATTAATCACATTAAACTAAAGCAGCCAGACAGAGATGCTGTTGCTCTTGGTGGGACATTTAGTTGCTGCAGGGACAAAAACATGTGGTTTTCAGGGCACAACGTATAACAAACAAATGAATAGTCTGATCAATTGCTTAACTGCAGCTATTATTCAATAACAGCTTAATGGCT